CAGGTACGCAACAGTGACTCACCTGAAGGGAAGTCAGGTGAGCCGTCATCCACTACAGCAGGCAGTGGGGAGCTAGTACACATAGCCTTGCTCCTTCCTCTACATATTCTCAGAATGCAGGGATATAAACCTCTGAGTAGGGCTTATGTCACAGACCAATATGGCAGTATATTAACCTACAGGCGTAAGTCAAAAAGGCAGAAATGGAAGCAAGCTCCATTGACTTCACTGTGGCTTTCTCATAGCTCATGTAACCAGTGTACCATTGTTCTGGCTCTGCCTCAATGAAAGCAGCTGTGAACCTTTCAAACAATGCCCAGAAATAGTGCACAAATTAAGGGTTTCTAAGGTTCAGTTTTAGGATTTGACCCCATTCTGTTTAATCAGAATGGTGTCCAGCTGCAGCCTAAGACAGATGGATTGGTGAGTTTGTAACATGTTTACAGATTAGTTTCCTGAGGAGGCTTGGAGTCCGCCAAAGATAGAAGGCTTTAAAAACCTCCTTTGGTTGCTATTTCCTTACTTTTAAGATTTTATATGGACGGGTCTTGCGCTTAAGTGAATGCAGCTGGTTTTCTAATGGGGCTTCTGTGCCTGAACTGTTCTTTATATACTTTAAACACCATTTTGTACACTCACATTTTTTATAAAGGCCTCTAATCTTCATATTCCCTCAGTAAATTCACCTTCCCACAGTACGAAAAGACCTAATTGTTTTTCCTACTGCATGGAAGACGAAATACAAATTTGAAAGTTATAGGACACTTTTTCAGGGTCATGGATTCAAAGAATTACCTTTATATACTCAATGAAAAATAGGAAACAGTTGTCATAACTTTTCTATTGTGTTTTATTTAAAAAATACAAATCAAGTCAAGAAAAATCAACCTGGGAGGAGAAACATGGGCTTTTCTGCTGACATTTGGCAGCACCTCGCATAAAACACCATTCAAGTGGTTTGCAGTGATTGTCTTTTAGCTGCAGTGCAGGCAGACTTTCAACAGGTGAAGCTTCCCCTGCCTCCGTGCTAGAGAACAACATCACCTGTTGAATTTTTGTTTGCTACATAGTTATCTCAGGCACATGACCCTACTGGGAGGGTAGGCAGAAGGTAGCAATCCTCCTCACAGTTAACATTTGAGGCTGAAATCTGATCTGCTGTGGAGGCATACCCAGGTGTTTGGTAGTATTGTTAAGTAGAAGGAGGCAGATGATGATTATAGCTGGCATATCCAGAATTAAGACTACAGCATGTCACAGAAATCTTCTGAGAAACCTGTGGAGGTTTGTCAAAGAGGCCCTGGCTGCTATGTTGACAGGCTTTCAGAACCTGACACTACAATATGTCTGCAGAGTCTTTTTAATCCAGTCACGGTGCAGACTGTTTTTGTTTTCTTTCTCCCACCTCCTGACGCTTTTTTTCCTGTACATGCACATTCCTTTTATGCAGACTCCACACTGTGTCTGAGGAGGTGTTGCCATGAGGAAAGGTTTCTTTATTGTTATTTTTAATGCCTCGTAATAGCTGGCAAGAAAGAGGAGCCACGATCCCTGTTAATTGGAGTCTGTCTAGAAACTCTCTTTTAAGAGGGCCATTATCTCTTTAATCTGTTTTGGGGGTGGAGGGGCTTGGCAAGTGAGTTCTTCCATCAACAGAGGAAAAGGGTTGATATCCAACCATCATTTCAAACATGGAGCATTAAAAAAAAAAATCATTCCCAAATACTTTAGTCCTTGAATCTCTGTTGGCTGAGGCAGGCAACATTAAGTCTGAAGGGAAAGGAAGCGTTGATGTTCACAGATATTTTAAACTGTCTTGAAAGGTGCCTCCTCCTTAGGCAATCTTTCAGGGATGGCTGAAAAATGAATAAAAAGTGTGCTCGCTCAAGAATACAGTGGTACCTCAGGTTAAGTACTTAATTCGTTCCAGAGGTCTGTTCTTAACCTGAAACTGTTCTTAACCTGAAGCACCACTTTAGCTAATGGGGCCTCGTGCTGCTGCCGCGTCGCCGGAGCACGATTTCTGTTCTCATCCTGAAGCAAAGTTCTTAACCTGAAGCACTATTTCTGGGTTAGTGGAGTCTGTAACCTGAAGCGTATGTAACCTGAGGTACCACTGTAATGACCCCACCTTTCTTCTCGCTTTCCTGGAATCACCAAGTGGTCAGTGCAGGTCACCTTTCCTCTAAATTACTGTAGCTTTGTTTGCATTCACTGACAGCAGCACACAGCTAAATCTGATTGGCTGCAAAGCATTGTTATGACATCACATTCTCCATGTTATGTCAGATTGGTTGAGATCACATATGAAGGAGAAAGAAGTTCGAAGGGGGCAACACCAAAATAGGAGGAAATCAGGGAACAGTGGTCACAATCAGACATAAAAGAAGGTGAGCAGTGGGAGGTTTTTTTGAATGGAGTGTTTCAGCATTGTCCCCCCATCCCCGCAAAAAACACCCCACTGCTTTTGCCATAAACAGCAAAACATTAACTTAACATTTGGCACACCCTGGAATCTGTCCTGCTTTTTTTTCTCACTACCTACAGTAACGTCAGTAGAATAGCTCACCTTAAGTATTTAATAGACAGAAAGGAGAACAGAGTTCCTACACCTTAATCAATGGGGCAAAATGGAAATTGTGGGCAGATGGAGCTTGCCCAGTGAAAAGTGAGAAGTGCTGTACATGCTTAAATGTGCTTTTCTATATAAGAGTCCTGGCTTTCCTTTGATTTTAATTTTATTTGGTCGCTATATGTGTGTCTGAAGTGTAGTGACATCTGTCTTATGTCTTCTAACCTATAGCATTATCCCTGTCCTCTTTCCCAAACCAGGTGCTTCTGACCTAACAGCATTCAGTGATCCAAGAGTGGGAATTGACCGTCCTTTCCCTGCGATTCCTTCCATTTCTGATCCTCGCATGCACTATCCCGGAGCGTTCACCTATACTCCCACACCTGTGAGCTCAGGAATAGGAATCGGTATGTCTGCCATGACCACTGCCACAAGATATCACACTTATCTGCCCCCTCCATACCCAGGTTCTTCTCAGGCTCAAGGCAGCCCATTTCAGACCAGCTCCCCTTCCTATCATCTCTACTATGGAACATCAGCAGGGTCATACCACCAGTTCTCTGTGATGTCTGGAGGAGATCGGTCGCCTCCACGCATCCTTCCTCCTTGCACTAATGCTTCCACAGGATCTACTCTCCTCAATCCCAACCTTCCAAACCAAAACGATGTTGTGGACACAGAAGGCAGCCATAGCAACTCCCCTACCAACATGGCAACCACAGCAAGGCTAGAAGAAGCAGTATGGCGGCCGTATTGAATCATTAGCACAGCTGTTTTGCCTGCTGAATGGCCAAGGACTCTGCCAGGTTTATATATCATTACAGAGAAGCAATCCATCCAGAAGTCAGTATTTCCAGGAATGGTGTCATGGTGTTATCCAATTGACATTGGTCACTGAGGTGACAGTATTCCAGAAAAGTACACTCGTCCAAGGACTGAACTTCTGAAGATGAGAACATTTTAAGACGATGGTACCTACTCACTCACTTTTTCTAGAGATATGGGGAAGGATAGATACTCGGTATGTTTCCAGAGCTTGAGACGTCAAAAATAGTTTTGGAGCTCCTCAAAGCTTTCAAAAGAGTGCTTTGTTTGACATCCGATTTGGAGGCTTAAAGCCTAACGCAATCTTAATGAGTTTAATCAATCATTTTGTCATGCTAGTTAAAAGGAAGTATAGGAAGATTCTCAGAGAGAAACTGTGAATGCTTCTGATTTAGCAATGCTGTGAATAAGAGTTTTTATATCCTGGAATTAATTTTTTTAACCAAGTTGTATATTCCAAAGAGTATGGGAATTATTCTTATTTTAATTTTAATTTTAAGATGCAACTCGTCCTTTGCATATCATTTTTTTTTTTATTTCCTTTTTTGGCACCTTAGAAATTTGTAAAAAGATTTAATCTTTTTAAAAATGTGCTTGATTTTCTCATGCATTGTCAACTGAAGGCATGAAAAAGGCCTTTCCAGGGAGATGATTTAATTATTCCTTTAATATAAAAGAGTGACAGCCTTGGGTCCTTTTCAACTACTGAAAACGTATATGATGAGTTACTCGATATTTATGCTCTCAGCATTGATTTTTTGTGTGTGATACCTTTATTATTTAAATATGCTTAAAGATAAGCACATGCATTTTGTAGCAACCAAAGTTTTAAAATATCACATATAAAATGGCTGGAATAATTATGGGTAATGTGACTTTTAATTATTTAGAAGTATTGTTTACATTTTGCTCCATTTCACTTTCATCAGGCATTTAATACCCAATGAAATCATTTTTGTTGTCCAGTTGAGAACCCAGAATTATTTTAAACATTAGTTTGATATAAGTAGTATCAAGCATGTCTCCCTTCTTTAAAAAGAAAAGGAAGAACTTTGCATCACATTTTGCCACAATACTCTGATCATTTTAACACAAATTTCAGAATACGAGGAAGACACTGGAGGCAGGAACTGATCTCAGAAAGAGCATATGGAGATTCCAGGACAGCTGCGTTATACTCCATGTTGTGCTGAACTGATATCTAAATGCAACAGAAGTGAAAAGTAAAATCAAACACAGCTAGATAGACATAGCAAAGTACTTCATGCTGATAAATTATGGGCAACATCTGACAAGCTCCTGTACATTCCACTTTGATCTGTTGGGAATTGCAAGAACTTGTTTCAGGCTGTGGTCCTAAGCACAATCCTCTGGACACCATGCACTAGATACACAGACACAAATCTCTATACTACAGATTTGACAGCCAAAGGCAACCTTAGGAGGTTGCACATTTGAGCAAAAGAATGGCCTGAGGGACTGGTAGCCCTTGTCTTCTAGCCATCTCCCTACTCACCCATCCCAAATTAATTTTTCATCCTGTAAGAGAAAAGATATGGATATCCATCTCTTTTCTGCTGTAAGTGGAAAAGCAACTTCCAAGTGGAAGAAATGGTGGTAAGAGAATGGTTACACCAAACACCATTGCTTTGTTCAAACTTGCCGTCTCAAGGTTACTTTTGGTTAAAAATTATTGTCACTGGACAGCTCATCACATCTAGTTTGGGCCTCAGTTCTTGACAAATGAATTTAGAATCTGGAACAGACTAGCATATGCAGCATCTTGCAAAGCCAAGCCCGTAGTCAGGAAAGGAAATTTAAATCAGTACAATTCGAACATGGTACATGGAATAGAATACCCTGTAGCCAATTTTTACTTTCTTCCCCATGCCCCGCAGTAATAACTTAGATGGAACATTCACTGTTGTCTAATACACCTCAAACATATCGGACATCACTGTAAATTATAAGGCACTGTTTTATGTGAGGGTTTGGTCTGGATGCAATTGTACATGTCTTTGATTGTACATTAAATGAATACTGCTGAAGTCAACAGATTCAGAATTACCTTCTGATTAAGTAATGGACCTTTAAAAATTAGTGGAACAATTGCAGATCAGCTCTTCTGAGTATTTGAAAGCAGGCCTTTAAATCAGTGTTGGGTGTTTAACAAAATTAATAAAGGATTCATTTTAGAAAGATCCTCGGCTGCAGGCAGCAAAACAGCTGGACTTATTTAAAATATTTGTTTCTTTTTATATATATATTATATATATATTTGTAGATTTTGCTTTTGCATTATTTGTGTGTCTGATGCAGTAGCACTTTGAGATAAAATGTTACAGAGTGAAACAGCTGATGCTATCAACAAGGTCAACTTACTGCAGAAAATTATTTCAGCTGATCTCAGCCAAAGCTCAAAAGATCATACAGTCCCATTTCCCCCCCTCCCCACTTTCAGGTTCATATTTTGCAGTTGCGTGTTTTGCCATTTTTCAGATGTGTGTTTTAAAATTGGAGTATTTGAGTTTCTTTTTTAAAAAAGAAATGGAAGAGCCAATTCATTTCTGTGCTTCTGAAATGGAAAAAAGGTATTTCAAAGTTAATTGTACAAAACTGTTACAATTACCTTGATTTTTCATGCATTGATTTCTTACGTCTTTAGTGAAATTTAAATCTGTCTTTCATGGTAACTGTTCCACAGGATTCAACTTAAAATACAATGCCTTTTCCTTTATGCTATAAGTGCTTAATGTGGATAATCTGTTTAGATAAAAATGCCAGTCATTTATTATAGATATCAGCAACTAAGGCCACTATATACTCTCTATGATTTATGCCTAAACAAATGTATGCCATTTTATCCAGTATTAGAATAATTCATTGTCTCGACTACACCTGCACTGTTAATGATTAACTGCCCACTCCTTTGCAGGTTTATTCAGAGGTAAGTCCCACTGTGTTCAGCAGTGATCATTCCTAGGTATTGGGGCATAAAATTGCAGCCTGATTTTACCAGCTTCTGCCACAAATGGGCTGTCATGGAATCTGGCCAGCGTGGAGTGTGGCATTGCTAGGGAAGAGAGCAAAACATTCTGAGGATAACTACAGTTTTTGAAGCCCTACAGATGCCAGGGATCAGAGAGCCACAAATCAGCACTTCATAAAGAGAAGTGCAGACAATCCAGAGGAACTTGAGCAACTGTTTATATGAGCTCAGGCTGTTTGTCTACCTTGCCCAGCAGCATCTAATCTGAGTGGCAGCAACTCTCCAGGGTCTTTGGTGCAGAGAGGTCTGTGCATTCACCTGCTACCTCCCTTCAGCCGTGGTTCATTGGTAGATCATCTGCTTTGCATGCAGAATGTTCAATCTCCAGGCAGGGCTGGCTGGCCGAAAGCCAGAAGAGCCACCACTATTCAGTGTAAACAATACTAAGCTACATGGACCAAGGTTTGACTTGGTATAAGGCAGTGTCCTATGTTCTTATGCACCTGCTCTTAAGAAGACATGGCAGGGGTTGTACCTAGAAGGACCTTTTGCATGTAAAGCATGTGTTCTCGCATTAAACTACCAATCAGTTTCTGTCAAGAGACTACCCACTTTCCAAATGTTTTTCTTTCTCATAGCTGAATTGTCTGCAGATTTAGAATCCTAAATATGGCTAGATTTAGGTTTAAGAGACTTGGACTTTATAATTAGGCACTAAGAGTGCTGTACGCATTCTCTTTGATTTTTGTTGTTGTTAAAAAATATCCCCTTGGTGATTTAATTTTACAAGGCATTGATCAGGGCTCTTGAACACCTGAACATCTTTCTAGGGTTGAACCATTTCAGAATGTGACATCTTCTGAATTGATGCCATCCCACGAACACGTAGGTCAAATCTATATCATTTTATATTGGGCTTGCCTAAGGAAGGATAAGAGTAGTTACTAGGGGAGGTAGTAAGCTCAGTTTTTCTGCATGCCTCTTGGAGTGTAATGAAATGTGATAGCTAATATTTGGAAGGGGGCGTCTGTGAAACTCCAGATTTTTCATAGGATTTTCCCTTCTGTTGAATTCCTGCTTCTTGGACCTCAGTCTCATGCTGATTTTAGAGTGGTCAAATGCAAAAGAGAACAAGGCTGCTGGACCTTTAATGCCTGTGCAGAAGAGGGAACTTCGCATGTGTGGGAAATGTCATTGCTCCAGATGTTGCAGACCTGCAACTCCCATCAGCCCCATCAAACATGGGCAATGGCCAGAGACGATGGTAACTGTGGATCAACAACATCTGGAGGGCCAAAGGTTCCCGCAGCTGAGCTACAACTGCCTAATTCCCTCTCCTACACAGCTGTTAAAGGTGCAGGAGCCCTGTTTTGCATCTGAGTCACCTGCCTTAACAGTGGGAAGGCTCAAAGTACATCTTCTATAGGAGGCATTTCCCAGGGGTGCATTTCGAAAAGCATTCCAAACTGGCCACTGCCAGAGACAGATTGTAAGGATTAAGTCCACCTAGCTCCACAGAATAACCTGCACAGTCAACTGCTCACATACTTAAACACATGGAGAAGGGTTTTGGTTTTCTAAAAACTGGAAATGGGGCCAGGAAGCTGATGGTCTATTAAGAGCTGAAAGTGAACTGGATCACTACTTTGCAGCATGTGAAAAAACATTTTCTATCTTCATGTATAGCCAAATTAACTAAATATTAGAATTCCTGAAAGAAAAGTTCCCTATTTAAAGAATTTATTTTTTTTAAATGTTGCTCTCTAAGAGATGTTTGGGTATTCCCTTTTGTAAAATATAAATGTATTTGAAACTGTTATAATGACCGGATAATGGTGAATAATTAGGAACTCATTTTTATTTAAATGCATTGCACAATCCAGACACACCCATGAAGCTGAATCAGTACATGTTAAAGCATTTTAAATCAGTTTTTGCTTCATCTGAGATTAACTGGCTTTACCATTCCTTTTTATTGCAGCTACTTTTGGCTTTACCAGCAGAGATCCTAAACATACTTGTTAGGAAAACAAATCCCACTGTTTTCAGTGGGGCTTAATTTTTGCCCTGGAAATAACTTTCCCCCACATTTTAACGCAGTTGTGCAAATAGATCTTATTTATTCCCGTGTACTTAGATTTTTATAAACTGGTTAAACTGATCTTCCACAGGTGTCCCACAATCAAAAATAACAGGTATTTATAATATTTGTTATATTTGTTACTTTTTCCCAGATGACATTCATTGCTCAACAAAACTTTGTTTATAACATTTTATTTTATAAGGCTTGTTGTGCCTTGCAACCTTTTCTATTTAAAAAAAAAATGTTGGTCAATACTATCCCATCATCATTTTTTGTTTCATATATATCAAAGGGTGCATCAGGAGAATGTTAATTGTATTTCTGTATGTAAATAGGTTTTAAAGGCATCATAGAAACATATTGTTAAAGCTTGTATTTGACATTTTTCATTCGCTACATCTTTGCTGAACTTGCCTTTGCTAAATACTGTAGGAAACTTGTTTTATTTCCAACTTAATTATTTTAGGTTTTGAGATTAACTATTTTAGTTACTTTTGTCAACAGTTAACAGCATGGTTTTGTGTGGCACATCAAAATCTCTTCTTTTTTTGTTGTAGAAGAAAATGTGCAAACAACTGTGGGTTATTTGTGGTATTCTGGAGTGAACAGATACAAATTCAGGAAAAAAAGTGTTTCAGTAAGAAATGACTGTGTGGTAAATCTCATGGGTAAACACAATGGAAACAGGGCCATTTTGGAACATATATTTGGATCCGTGAGTTTAGCATTTTGTGGGTGTATTTACAATCAACTTGTCCTGCATATTGGAATTGCCACATCATCTCCTGTCGTATGGATCACTTTCAGAAGGGAGATTTTTTCCTCTCTCCAAGCGATAGCAGTTTTCTCTAGGAAGAGAACAGGAGCCTATTTCTCCGCACTCCACCATGTCTTGTTTAGATAATAGTATCTGAGTAGGCACTTCCTCTATGTTACAAGGTCAGTGTGTCCAGGAGAATTCATTGTGACTAGCATGCAGAGCAGCTGGACTGCTGCATTCGTTCTCATGGAAACTTGCTTTCTTTGTACCACAAGTTCTTCTGTACATTCAATATTATAATTAGTGTGAATGACAAATAAAACTGTTTGAGAAGTATACAAGCATTCAGTTCCTTCATTATTTTCCTGAGCCACATGACTTTGATTTTGATAGCCAGGGTGCAAAGGAAGGGCTATCTTCTTGCAACAAAGGAGTCTACTGATTTTTGTTGGCGATTGGTAACCTGCCATTATTTGTAGCTGCCGGTGAACCATCCCATTCCGTCCCCTTATTCTTCTGGCACATGCAGAGAACCTCTCCCTTCACACCAAGCTTTGGAAACTAAGAAGCCATGAGAAGCTCTCTGTTTCTGAATGTCTCCAAAGCCTCAGGAGAAGCTGATCCCTCGTTTCCTCCCATGTTTTCTGTGTGCACCATAATATTTTCTGCCAGGAGGGAGAGCCCTCATCTGTCTGTTTTTTTCAGCACCACCTGAAATAGCCGCCTTCTTCTGAGTTTTCTCAGCTGCAAGGTGGCTTGCTTATGCACCACCACAAAAAAGGACACAGACTTGCATCTTCTAACTTAGAGGTATAGTTGGAAATTTAGAAATAATTACTATGAGTTGTATCCAGCTAAATCATAGTGATAGTCATATCAATTGATTTCATCAGCTCTACTAACTTAAGTCCATTGGTTTCAATAGGTCCACTTATGATTTAGTTGGAGATGCCCTATAATTTAATTAGGCATGCATCTCACCATAGGAGGGAAGGCTGTAACAACCAGATGGCCAGTTCAGTCTGCTTACAAACTGCTAACTGTTGATGGACAACTTGAAGGGCTCTGCTCTCTTGTCTTATAAGATTCTTTATAATTGAACCACAATTTCAAAGAGAGGACTATAAAGTAGAGTACATAGCCATTCTACTCTGCTGTACATAGAATTCTGAGAAGGAATATCTCCTTGTATGCTAGACAACGTGCAGCAAGTGTTTACTAGAGAGAAATCTGTAGCTCCCACTGGCCATTCAGCAATGACATCTCTGGACCACTGTTCACACAGCACCTTGTTGATGGAAACACACCAAGGATGCAAATGGGAAGAGACAATGCCCCCACATTGGTGGTTTTTAAATGATAAAGCACTGATTTAAGCACCTGTGTATCCATCACAGCTGGCATTGTATCTTGTATCTGTGGCCAAATACAAAGCAGAGTGAGAATTTGTCTAAATTTGCAGACAGGCATTAGTAAAGTAGACTGTGGCCCATGAAAGTTTATGCCGTAATAAAGACATTTAAGGTGCCACAAGATGCATAACTGAAACTGAAACATGGAGGATACAGTCCAGCCATATATTTTCTTAAGTTCCCTGTTATCCAGTGTACTTTACTCTGGCATGTTTAACTCTCTCATTGATCACAATTGAAATAAAAGTGCTTAGCTATAGCTGGATCTAGTCCAGCATCCTGTTCTCACATTGGCCAACCAGACGCCTATAACAAGCCCACAAGCTGGGCCTGAATGCAACCTCACTTCCACAAGTTGTGAGCCTCAGCAACTGGTGTACACAGGTATACTGCCTATAGCAGTGGAGACAGACTTCAGGAGCTTGCTCTCTGGTTTGAAGTTGCTGGGGCATCTGAAAGTCTCCCAGACTACTATTAGTACGAGTCATTGTCTGGGAATTGTTTGGGTTTGGGATAAAACGATAAACTAAATTAAGAAGACAATCTAATACACAAGCATTAAAATGAAGCTTTCTGTCCGACATAGAATAAATAATGTTTGGTCTCAAACTTTTAAAAGCATGGAATCATAGATCTGATATGCAGTAAAGCCCATCTTTTTTTCAACAGGCCTTGTGAACATTTTTTCCTATTTTTTTAAAAAAGCTAGATTTCCTGTAGAGGTTTAATTTCAGTCTTGCAAAGAAGAGAGCATTAACTAATTTTTTCCATATTGATAATATTTTATATTGCTGCAAATTAATTACTGTTGTGTTTTAGCCTGAGTGATATGTAAGAGTTTGTAGCTAAAGGCACTTTGGAATTAAAATCAGTTAATGCTGGTTTAAGAATGGCTCAGATACTTCCATGTGGTTAGAGGACCCACTACCATGCTCACAATGTTACATGTGGCATTGATGCTTTGCATGGATGGTCTTATTTGTAGAGTGTCAAATCTTGCAATCTTTGGCTGCTTTTGTGATAAGCAAGCATTTCACAGTGCAGGGCTCTGCATATACAAATACCCACCTGGAGAACTCCAGTCACAGCATGGAAATGAGATCCTCAGCCCAGAAGATTGTCTGTGTTTAGGTCTCTTGAATTTCGGTATTTGGTTAAAATAAAAGGAGAATTCTCTGGATGCCTAGATGCAGCATTGAGGCAAGTACTCTTGGGTGAGACAGTCCCAGCAGAGATTTAAAACCACAAATATGCTGCAAAGTAAAGTGTGGAAATATAGGCTGATAGACCTTTAAAATACCCCCTTCTAAGTTTCTTCCAAAGCTTTCCACTTCCTTTAGCATAGAAATAGGCCACACGTTTGGTAAGCTAAGAATGGTTTACTTACAAACTCTTCAAATATTAGATTCATTTGCTTTTCCATACAACAGCAAGAAAAGACAGCAAAACTTAGGTTAGTTCCAAAGTGGTAAACATTTCTAAATTGTTTGTACAGAAACACAAAGATTGCTTGCTAAAGCCATGCTGTCTAAGCCGAGAACATCTAGTTTAGACCTCTGTAAAAGGTAAAAGTAAAGGACCCCTGGACAGTTAAGACCTCTGTACTGGTAGGTTCACATGCATAACAAGGAGTTTGGTAACCCTTCCTCCCAAGAAGAGGGGGTGCAACCTAGCTAAGCCTGGCAGGACAGCTTACTCTATGGTCTTAACCCCTTCGTGCATTAATTAGTGTTAAGCATGTTGGTTATATGCGGCTGGTTATATTCCACAATACAGAGAGGGTGGCGCTGAGCCTCTTGGGCTTGCCTACCAGCAATTCAAGTCGCACAACAGGGTGAGCTCCCATTGCTCTGTTCCAGCTCCTGCCAACCTAGCAGTTTGAAAGCATACCAGCTCAAGTAGATAAATATGTACCGCTGCAGTGGGAAGGTAAACTCGTCACAGTGTCCCATTGTGCCTGAAGCGGTTTAGTCATGGTGGCCACATGACCCGGAAAGCTGTCTGCAGACAAACACCGCCCCCCCCCTCAGCCTGAAGCAAGATGAGTGCCACACCCCATAGTCAAGTTTGACTGGACTTAACCATCCAGGGGTCCTTTATCTTTATCTATATCCCACAACTAACAGGCACTTTGAATCAGCAACAGGGCTGCCACCAGCCTGTCAGAAAACACAGGCATATATTTTCTATCCACTGGTATACATCAAACCAACAACTGAGCAGCCTTGTGTTATATTAGATGATTTGGAGAAGCAAAGCAGTTGGGGTTATGTGCCAAATCCTGTAGAACTCTACTAATCTCAACAGGACTCCAAACTGCTCATGTTTCTTTATGAGATTTCCAGAACTCGGCTTGCAGAAGCTAACACATGCCTCAGAGTTCACAAGCTCAGTGTGTGTGCATCATATAAGTGCTGGCAATTTATGTCTTACTAGCTCTGTCATAAATCCAGAGTTGAGATGGTTCCCTTGTCAGTTGAAATATTAGTACATTGAGTGCAGCGTTCTGCGAGAGCTTCCAGCTCTTTGTTCTGTACAATGCACCTTCCACACATCTGGCTAATTATGACAGCACAAGCTGCCATGGGACATATTTGCATGCCTGCACACACCCACCCACACACACACACCCCTACTGACAAGTTTAAAGACAGTTAAGTGGGTGGATTCAGTTAATTTTAACCATGCTGATTATCAGGGGCATATTGGGGGGTTGGCCAGGCTGGCCCCCACTGGCGGAGGAAGAGGGGGGCAGGGGGAGCGCACCACCCCCAGCACCACGATCCCGGTGGGGTGCCATCGTGGCTGCCCCCCCCTTCTGGGCGCCATTCCTCCACAGGCAGTGCACCACGCCCCAATGGGCGGGGTGCCACGCCCCCAGGATGCATGCATGCCATGCCCCCACAAGTGGCGCATCATGCCCCCAGGACACACGCCATGCCCCTCGTGCCAGAGCATGAAGCTCCGCCACTGCCACCAAGGGCGCACAAAAATTACTCTGCTGCTTGTCACTTTCCTTCCTGCAAAAAGAATGAATAGTCACTGTGGGAAGCAGGATCCTGGCTCAGCTGGCCTTTTGTTGTGATCCATCAGGGCTGCTCTCGTTTCCTTACAAATCCATTAAAATCAGTCCAAAAACTCAATCTGGGTGAGTCAAAGAGCTGTGGGTTAGCCCCTGACGTCAAATTTAAACACATTTGTTTGAAAGTTTCAGCCTTGTTGAATCACTACTACTTATTTTACAGCATTGAAATTGAAATGAGGTAAATGAAACGTGGAAGAAGAAATGGAGGAATAGATCCAAAAAGAGAAGTATTAGAGAGAAACAGCAGATGACTGGGAGGTTGCTGTCAAAGAATTGGCCAGATAGTTGGCAAGCTTTTGGGGCTTGTAGCATCCCAGCCAACTCTTCGTGTATTTATTAGGGCAAGAAAAAGCTCTTGGATACCTGAGCAGAGCAGCAGAATATACAGAGAAGTGGCACCTGCTTAGGTGAACTGAAGAAGAGAGCTTCTTCCAAGTTGCTGTGAATTAAGAAGCGTCAACTTTCCCCTTGGTGTTTCCTCAAAAATTGTAAGGAACCATATCTATTTGTAGAACAGTCTTTGTTGACGTTGTTCTTTCATTTTCTAGAGATGCTATCCATCCCCCTCATTTTAATGCGATTTTACACACATTTTACTTACCAAGCAAAACTATATTAATTTCATTCAAATACTTTTGAATTCGCAAGTCATGTTGCAACTCTTAAGCACCCCTCATTTTTGGAAGTTGAAAAATTCAACCCACCCACCTAGTGGAGTAGTGTCTGTCTCCTCTGCTAAAGCGGACTGAGCCCCTTGAACTGAAGAGGCCCCTCTCGGGAAAGGCACTTCCTATTTGAGGCTCATCCTGAGGACGACTGCTGTTGGGGGAAAATAACATCTGAGGGTTGCTCTTATGAAGTCTCTAGCGTGTGTCCTGCATGGAGACTGCCTTGCCTCCCTACTGCTGAGACTGTCACTCAAAACAGAAGAGGGTAGTCATCTCTATCAAGGTTGTGAGCAGCCAGTCCTGCTGTCCAGGCATCCTTGTCTTTAGCTGCCAGCTCTTGTGAGTTGGCTTGTGCTTTTGAAGTAGGGCAAACCTTCACTTTGAGGCAAACTCCCTTGGACCAAAATTTGAAAACAGATCACAAATCTGTCATTTCTTTCCTCTGTACATCTAGGAACTGCCCAAGCAATGGTTCAATCATTCTACTTAGGAGATGGGCTGAGGGCTGTTTTCTTCTTATACTTTCTCACTTTCATGGCATAACTGCTAGGAGCAGCTTCAAAGCACCTCTGCCACATCAGGCAAAAATTACTTCAAAAACACTGAAAGAAGCAGCAGAGTAACTGTACATATAATGATATGTACAAATGGACACTGTACTTTTAAAAAAGATGTCTGCCCGTGTTTACAATAAGATGGAGGTGATATGGCAATGGTGGCCATTGTGAATTTGGAGTACTATTGTCACTCAGAAGTACTCCATTTTAGCCTCACAGTCAGAAATTGGGATAGGCTTCTGAAATGTGTGATGTCCTACTAAAATAGGATCTGAGATTATGCTGTAAAACAGGGATGGGGGCCAAATGCAGCCCTCCAAGCCTCTCCATCTGGCCCTGGGAACCCCTCACTGGCCCTGCTGTGAACTCATTGTTTCTGATTGGCTGGAATGTGCCCTTGAAATCTGCCCATGCCTCTTGCAAGTGTGCAGGGAGGATAGAGAGGGAGGTGTCGCTGTGTGTACAAATAAGCCTTCTGTATAACAGTGACATAGTGAGGCTCCAACCACTTTTGCCTCTGGCCTCACCCCCCACTGGCATATGAACCTTGGAAGGCTGCCCAGAAATGAGTGCCCCCTGGCCTGAAAAAAGGTCCCCTCCTGAAATTTGTGGACCCAAATGTTGTTGTTTTTTGGTGCCCTCTCCACACTGACTGGAAACAGGATGAAAGAGTCCACCTTCAAAATTCTCTACATTCCATTGGCAGGTCATTTCACATTGTGTTAAGAATATAGACTGGATGTCACACACAAACGCAGTGAAGCCTCTTCGCTTTCATAATGAGAGCCTTTTCAAAATGCCTGGCCTGCTTCATTTTCCTCTCAAACAATACTTTATTCTTTGTAGCCTATGATTTGTTTCTACGTAAAACAGCTATTAAGTTTACTAGTTGCTCTGATAGGGAATCTTGAGTTTGGGTTGACGTTATCCTCCCTCCCCTTTCTCCCGACACATCTGGGATTTCTTTTCCTTCGTGGTTCTTGCTAAGTGGTAGATTGCAGTTGTACCACTAGAGGACACCCTTGACCAACATTGCAACACAAACAAACCTAAAATGTGACTGGGGTTTAAAAGTGTTTAATGGCTACGATTCCCGCGCTCGAGTACTCACACACTCACACAGCATTAATATATAGTTAAGAATGTGTGCAAAATGTTTTGTGGGAAATGAAGGCTGATGCAGAAGCAAATGGGGCATTTTGCCAAACAGAGTTATTGTTAACAGTCTAATCCTATGATTGCATTTTAATTGGCAGCGAACAAATCATAGTTTGTGCCAGTGGCGTAGCGTGGGTTGTCAGCACCCGGGGCAAGGCAAGTAATTTGCGCCCCCTAACCTGTGGATTTGCGCCCCCTAACCCTAATCCCCAGATGTTGCACCCAGTGCGTCCAGCCCTCCCTGCACCCCCATGCTACGCCACTGGTTTGTGCAGTGCCAACAAAAGCACCCCACCTTATTCAGCACATCCAGCCTCTTAACACTGCTATGCACAGCACTGGGGAAACTACATTTTTCTCTGACAAGACTCCATTGCCTTTTTTACAGATACATTAACAGGCACAAATACAACAGGTGAAGCTTCACACCGACATGAAGTAGTGAAAGAAATTTCACCTGATGAAATTAACTATGTACTTATTGTTTGAATTTGTACCCTGCCCTTTTTTTACATTATCACTCAAGACAGCTAATAGCAACAACCATGATATATACTAAAATGTTTTTAAAGTCAATACAACTTTTGAAAGGTTGGTTATAAAGGTCATAGCAACACATTAAGGTTAGCCATAGTTTTTCTAAGTCAGGCCTACCTAGCAACAGGTCAGGATGCCAAGTCCAAAGTTCAAGGGTTGACCCACACAAGCAAAGTCCAAAATTCAGGAAACAAGGTTCAGAGTCAATCCAAGTAGTGAAGTCTGAAGTCCAGCAGTCAGGATACAATCCAGAGTCAAACCCAAAGCACAGTTCCATGGTATTCCAGGAACATCCAAGCGAAGGTCCCTCACCATGGGCAGTTGAGCAGACACAGCACCTCAGCTCTGCAGCCTTTTATACTTTGGATGCTAATTGCAGCACCTGGGCTTGAGAAGTCATGTGACCCTCACCTGTTCTGAGTCTACTCCAGCTGAGGAATCACACACCTCTTCCCAGAGCTAAGGAGCCCCACCTGGCCAGCTAGGGAGCTGTGGGTCCTTGCCTGCCTCAGCCTCCAGGAGCACCACTCCTACTGATCCCTACATCTCAGAGCCCACTGTGTTCGTGGAGACAGGGGTCCCTCTGGCTCTGGTGACGGGTGTCCCCATCCCCTCGTCATCCTCCATCACTCTGTGAGTACTTCCTGCACCAACCTCTCCTTCCCCATCCCCAGCTTGCCCCTTGTTTGTCCCAGTCCCAGCTACACCCTTTGCCAGGACCCTCTTCCTCCTTCCTATTGTCATGACAACTAGGGTGTCACTTTTAACAGTCATTTCTTCCTCTAAAAAATTCTGGGAACTGTAGTTTGTTAAGGGTGCTGGTTGTTGTTAGGAGACTCCTATTCCCCTCCCAGAGCTCCATTTTCCACAGTGGAGTAACAAGTGACTCCTCTTCACAGGAAACACTGAAAACTGTAGTTCTCTGGGGAGAATAAGGGTCTCCTAACAACTATCAGCAGCAGCAGCAGCGCTTTGTTTCAGGTGGGGGCCATGCCATTATAAGAGAACAAGGGAGGTGTTCATTGTGACTTCCAGCACCTCTTTTTCTAGAAAAATAGCACTGCTCAGCTCCTTTAAGTATGTACATCTCCCAGAATTCTTTGGGGGAACCCATGAATGTGTAAAGTGGCGTCATAGTGCTTTAAATGTGCAGTGGTACCTTGGGTTAAGAACTTAATTCGTTTTGGAGGTCTGTTCTTAACCTGAAACTGTTCTTAACCTGAGGTACCACTTTAGCTAATGGGGCCTCCCGCCGCTGCTGCGCAGCCGCTGCGCGATTTCTGTTCTCATCCTGAGGTAAAGTTCTTAACTCGGGGTACTATTTCTGGGTTAGCGTACTCTGTAACCCAAAGCGTCTGTAACCTGAAGCGTCTGTAACCCGAGGTACCACTGTAAAGTCAAAAGTCATCCTTACATGGAACTTCATATGATTTGGGGGCAAGTACATCTCAAATCTTTAAATTCTTATGCTACTTTTCCACATGTTTTTAGATCAATCACAGGTGACAGAAGATGTTGCTGACTTTACAAAAGCTACCATTTCAAAATGAAAGTGATATAAATAACTTTTGCTGCTCAGATACTAAATCTGAAACTCAGGGCACGGGGCGGGGAGAGAAGCTCAGCAGCCGAAACAGACCTGATCTATTTGCTGTTGGATCCTAATGCTGTTTGGCATGCTGGTAAATCAATATGGCTTTGAAAAAGAGTTTGAAAAGTCTGCTTAATCGTCTGTGAACTCGGCAGATATTTTCCTGGTTCACTTGGAACTACTTTGCTCGGTTTAAGTTGAAGAGGTCATTGTATGTGTCAAGATCTGGGGACAGTAGAAAAGCAGAGTCTGTAAGTTTTGCTGAGATGGTCTTTTGTATACTTCCTAGCCAAAGGTTTCCTTGAAAAGTTGGGAGGACAAAATCACATTGACTGCTGTGTATTCGGCTGCATAGCGGACATCAGGAACACTCCTGACTTCTGTGACAGACAAAGGAGTTGATGCATTGAAGGGAGATATCTTATCTAGTCATTTTTAGAAGCTAGAGTTTTCTCAATTGAGCCCATGCCTTGTGAATGAGAGACTACACATGGAGGTTTGGGTTTAAAACTGACAGCAAATTAGAATATATATAAAAATAAAAATAAATGTCCAGTAGCACCTTAGAGACCAACTAAGGTTGCACACGAAACCTTATACCAAGAACAAGCTTAGTTGGTCTCTAAGGTGCTACTGGACAATTTATTATATATATTTTTATATATTTCGACTGTGTCAGACCAACACGGCTACCTACCTGAATCTAGAACCATGGAAGGCACCACATTTGAGCTGCAGCAAATTAGAAAAAAATGTAAAACTTCAAACAGGAAAATATTATATGTGAGCTGGGTAAAAATAGTTTGAGCTCCTATAAATCCAAAGCACAGGATCATAATGCCTGTTGCCCCCACCCCAATCTCTGAGCGGTGTGAGATTCCAGGAGTTCTGGGTGCTTACGCAGCATTCTTTGGGGAAAGAGGCACAGTGGAAACTGTAGTGTCTTTAGGATATATGGTTTATTCACACATATATATACAGTGCTATTTTTCTAGAAAAAAATGGTGTCGGAACTCACCATGAACGCCTCCCTTGTTCTATAATGGCAATGGTGTCCAGCTGAGAGGTGCCGGGACTGAGTTCTAGTGAGTTCTGGCTGAAAAAAGGCCCTGCATACCTGGAGGGGTTCACAGTATCAACACCCCAAAAGGGTCTTGTTTCTCCCCTAGCCTCCAATTCAAACAGAAATCAAAGATTGCTCTCAAACATTGCTCTGATTCTTTCTCCAGCTTGCTGCTTTACTTCTAGGTCACACCACTGGTCCCAAAACTGTCTACTCTAAACTCTGTGGAGGGAGGAGGGCCCACTCATTTGCTGTCTTGCACCAAGCCCCCAAACCCTCCTTAATGGCTCATTGCCCAGGTTTATCACCTTGCCAGGAGACTAGCCTGTCTATTCCAAGAATTAGAAGCCTTCAATAAATTCTTTTATTATTATTATTATTATTATGTCTTTATTGTTTTAAGATAAATACATTTATAGAAAGAAGAAAGAAAAAAGAAACAAACATACAAACAAACAATAGAAAAAGCAAACACACAGCAATATAAGAAATAGCAAAATTAATATAACAAACATCATTTATATTCCCAACAATGCAAATAATTATGAAACTTGTGAAGAGAAAAATTAAAAGTGACTTCCAATTAGTCCCGCTGTACTTTATCTATTGATTACCTTATACCGCACAGTTACGTATTTCTTATATACCATAGTTTCTTTTTACATCCCTGCAAACCTATATTTATACAATACAAGGGTCAGTCTAGTTCTGCCAAGAGGTTTCCTTTTATACCATAATTTTTAAAGTATTCTTTAAAAATTCTCCATTCCTTATAGACTATTTGTTTTGTTTGGCCTCTTATCCTTCCTGTCGCCTTTGCTAGCTGCAGGTATTCTACCATTATACCAATCTGCCGTGTTAGGTATTTTTCTATTTTTCCAATTTCTTGCTACTAAAATTCTGGCCGCCATTATCCCATACGTGAACCATATTCTTTTCGATTTCCCTATTTGTTTTGGCAATATGCTTAATAGAAATATTTCTGGCCTTTTTAAAATGTAAATTTAAATATATTTTTTTAAGTTCTTCATATATATTATTCCAAAATACACAGATGTCTGTACAATTCCACCACATATGCAAGTAAGACCCAATTTCTCTGTTACATCTCCAACATATAGATGATCTATTTTTATACATTTTAGCAAGTTTTTCTGGAGAAGCCTTCAATAAATTCTAAGACTTGCTGGATCCAGGGATTAGAGCATTCTGGCCCCAGTTTAAGACCCCTAAGCATGCCTAAAGCTCTGGATTTGGGGTGAGCTCCTTTGGCTCGGGGCCTCAGAGTGGTTAACTCTCTACTCCAAGTCATTCCTTGCATAAGAACATATCAGACAAGAAGAGGAGCCTACTGGATGAGACCAATGGCCCATCTATTCCAGCATCCTTTTCTCACAGAGATCAACCAGAGGCCTGTGGGAAGCTCACAAGCAGGACCTGAGTACAAGAACATTCTCCCCTTGCTTAGTTTCCAGCAACTAGTAGGCAGAGACATAGCATCTCCAATGGTGCAGGTCGAACCTTGCCATTGTGGCTGGTGGCCATTGAGAACCTTATGCTCCTAATTAACTTTCTGACCTTCTGCCGTGAGGAGACTTGTCTTGTTGCAATTCCGGAGCATCTTCCCCATAAATTTTGTGAACTTTAGTTCCCTGAAGGAGTATATTCTAGGTTCATTTTTAATCCTCGAATAATACCTGAAAGGGACTAGAGATACATATCTAGGGCGCCTATCTCTGCCACCTGCAGACAGTTCTACATCATATAATGAAAGCACATTCAGTGTACATGACTTCCCCCCAAATAATATTGGGAACTGTGGTTTCCCTCTCACATAGCTACAATTCCCAGCACCCTTAACAACCCACACCTCCCATGATTCTTTGGGGGAATTCATGCCCTTTAAAGGTGTGTTGAATCATAGAATTGTAGCATTGGAAGGGACTTCAAGGTCCATCTAGTCCAACCCCCTGCAATGCAGGGATCTCAACTAAAGCATCCATGACAGATGGCCATCCAACCTCTGCTTAAAAACCTCCAAGGAAGGAGAGTCCATCGCCTCCCAAGGGAGTCCATTCCACTGTTGAGCAGCTCTTATTATCAGGAAGTTCTTCCTGATATTTAGACGGAATTTCCTTTCTTGGAACTTGAATCCATGTGCTTTAAATGTGTGGTGTGGATTATTATCTCCTGTGAACTGTTAAAGTTCTCATGCAGACAGCTGGGGTACTGTATCTTCGGAACAAGGTTTGAGGCATCTTTGTATAAAAATCAATGTTCCAGCAGCAGCTGACTGGGAAGGTTGCCATTAACTACACCTCCAATGTCCTATAACATTCAGGAAACGGGAGGACTTTTTGGTTTAAGAAACCTATTGTGACCTCCAAATACCTCTGAAGCCTGCTAAGGGAGATCTCTTAGCCATTAGAAAAGGTGAAGTGGCGTTGGGTTCGGATATTTATTGAGTTGGACACACTTCCGACAAGTCCTTCTGGGCTGACTTTATCATCCTACATTTATCTCCTCGCTCCTTTTAGTACCAGTCTCCATGCAGCTCACTTTTGAGTCTTTGTCTCTCGGATGTTTGCTAGATTGACCGCTGGCGTCATCACCGGCATGTTTCGAATCGTACCTTTTTAATGAGCATCCCCATTAAAAATCAGAATGGAGACAATGTAAAGCATAAGGTTATTTTCTGTCTCCAATGGCTGACCTTCCGCCGTCACTCCCCACCCCCAGTCCGATTACTTTATTCCCAAAGTTTGCGTACACATTTTGGAGGTTGTCCTGTTCAAGCAGTGATAACACAAAGTTAATGTGTTTGCTTAAGAAGAGAAAAGAGCTCTGACGTTGGAGACCATCACTAGAAGGGCACAAAGCAAACCTCAGGAAACAGAAAGAGACGGGTCGCCAAATGTCAAAATGCAGGTTAGTAAAGTGGAATTTGAGGGGGAATTTATTTTCTGGCTAACGAAAGGAAACAAGGGTTTAAAAGTCCATAGTGAGTGCCGTGTACTTGACCAGACAGAAAACTTGGACAAAGAGTCTTGACCGACCCTTGGCTAACAGAGTACAGACCTAGGAACCGACACAATCCCATTTTTTGCAATGGAAACCGGGATCTTGTTATTTAGTCTCTTGATCATTGTTGCCTTTTCTTCAACTGTTCAGACAATGTCTCCTCCAATGATGCTTGACAAACTTCAACATCAAGAAGGTAAGTTAAAATTCTGTTCCCATACTACCGGTTCTGTTAATGCCTTCGTTCCACAGTGTGGCCAGTTTAAGAGTTTTGAATGAAAAGTTTTGCAAGAAAAAAGGAAGACTTGTGCTGTGTTATTGCAGAAAGCAACATTTAACAGAGATGAGTCAGAATCTAAGAAACTCCACCAACTGTATTTCATACCACTAGACTTTGTACAAGACAGATTTGTTTCCAGGTACTGTGCATTTGCATGTGAATTACATCAAAAGCATGGGTTTGACAATATTAGTTGGCAGAACCTGAGACTCTTAATCACAGGGTTGTGGGTTCAAGCCCCACCTTGGGCAAAAAATTCCAGCATTGCAAGGGGTTGGATTAGATGACCCATGTTTTCCCTTCCAACTTCACAATTATATGATATATGAAGCTGGCCATTTCCCCGACATCAATATGCTATAAGAAATGAGACCATAGGTCTTTTTTCTTTTCAGGTAAAAGCCAAAGAGCCATGGAAGAGTCTGCATCTAATCAGCAGAGGAAGATCTTGGGATTTTTATCAGCATTTGATGAAATACAGAAAAGTACCAAACCTAGATTAGATCCCAAGACCACAGGGCTTCAAGGTAATTCAGATAATAACCATTGCCTACCATCAGCTGTATGTATTCATTAAGCCATAATGGATTGTTTGCAATAAATTTAATGGCATGTAACTAATTCTTTTTTTACTTAATTTATTATTAATTTATTTTACTTAATTTATTTATTATTAAATAAATTACTTAATAAATTTAATAATAATAATTTAATTAATAAATTATTTAATAAAATGTATACACGTCAAAGCAGTCTGCAAAATAAAACAATAAAACAATAAAATTGAGGGAAAATCACAGCCATACTTACAAAAGTTAAAATAATGAAACAGATTAAAATTGCCTCAACTTTCTAAGCATGAGTTGGTTTGTCTAAACAAGGGTGTTTTAGCAGGTGCTGAAAAGAATACAGGGAAGGTGTCTGCTTGATCTCAGTAGGCAGGCAGTTCCAAAGTTCAGGCACTGCCACACTAAATGCCTGAATTCTTATAAATGTGGAATGGCTATTATGTGGCACCTATAGCAGTGCCAATTTTGCCACTCAAAGTGGTCGAGTGGGCACATGTGGGGTAAAGCAATCTCATAGGAAAACTGGGGCCAAGTTGAAAAGGTTTTAGAGATCCTTTCAGTTCAGTCGCTTAATTTCAGGTCCACAATTACTGCATGAATGTGTATAGAAATGAACTGTACTACAATAGAAATAATTAAATTCATAATATTACTGTAAATAATAAACCATTTGAAAAGGGTTAGAGACAATGTCAAGTTATGAACACATGTGCAGAGCAATCCTATGCAAGTTTACTTGGAAGTAAGCCCCACTGCTAGACTGCAGCCTAGCAAAGCAATTCGGCTCAGAGCTGTGCCCCATTACTTGGGTATACCCAAGTAAATAACAATCTTATGCATGCAGACTTGGAATAAAGTCCTCCTGAGTTAAATGAGCCTTACTTCTGGGAATAGAGGATTGCAGCATTATGGAACTGATTCAACTGAGCAAAAAGTACTGGGACAAAAAGAGGATTGCATATTTAAAAAATGTATCAATTGCAAAAATATATGCATGCAACAAATAACGTCAATGATCGTTGATCGATCTCAGTGCCATATGAGAAACCAACTAATCCACCAGTTTGATCTTTAGAGTGTAAGTGTAAGTGAGAAAACTGGACATTAGGTTTTTGAGGAAAAGGCCACTCATCAGATCTATTCTTCAGGTTCAGAGATGTTTACGTTTTGAGTCTCTGGGGTGTATGTAGTATTTCACAGAGCTGTATCATTCAGAGTTTGATACTCTGCTCGTGATTAAAATGCCTCTGACAAATGCTAGTGTCTTTCATTATATTTTCGTGTGGTCTTTTTAAAATGAAGCATTGGTCTTAATTGTCTTCCATCCACGTCTCTGTTATTTATAGTACTTGCAAAGCAAATTGGTTTGATATTTTATATCTTCAATTCTTACAGTGATATGTGTTTCAAATACTGCAATGCTTCATGCTCTGAAATATTTGGATATTGGCAACATTCAAAGAACACCTAACATTTAAATAATGCTTTTTTGACCATTGATATGTGTGCTATATCTTTAAAAAGAAGAAGGAGAGTTAAAACATTGCAGAATTGCACTTCTTTCCTCCAGAACGTAGTTCACAGGTCCAAATGAAAAGGAACATTAAAATGGAAAATCTTTGAGGTTTTGGGGGGAGGGTTACTCCTATGTGTGGATGTTTTACAACAAATACCACAGGTTAATAATAGTGCTAATACTAAAAAGTAGGTGAATCCAACAGGCATAAAATAACAGGAACAAAAAATAATGAGCCTGAATTGGACAACAACCTACCCACTCCTTCCTAGACCGCTTGGTGTACATAATTTGAGAAAACATGTATGCCCTGTTTAAGACTACACAGAATAAAAGCATGCTTCTTCAATAAAACTACCCCATGCAGCATAAAACCCACAAAAACAAGAAATGCCCATGCTTTCTTAATTGGGGAACAGAAAGTGTCCAAACAGAAAACCCAGTGTGCAGATTTATCTGAAGAGGTGAAAGTAACCCTATTGCTGAGATACTGGGTGCCTTTAAAGGAAGAATGCAGCTCTGTGTGCACTGGCCACTGTTCTAAATCACCCTGAATTTAGGGGCTGGCATGGGAAGCAGCAATAAATGCTACATATCTGCAGCGGGTATAAAGTCAAGGCAACGAAGCCATTCAGCTAAACATCAGGCTAAAGGAGGGCTGGGAGAGAGAAATGGTTGGCATTGTTAGGCTGAACCTAGATGAGGTCAGAGGGCCAGAGCCTCATTAGTTTCAAGTGGCATGATCTGAAGGGCATCATTCGGGTGGTCTAAGAACACCATTTCTGAAACTTCTCCCCAGTTCTCGGAAGGTAGTGCCTCCCCAAATTTCAGCACAATGCCACAAGTGTCCCCCTGCATTATATGGTGGCGGTAGCATGCTTTCACTCTCTTTAAAGTATCTACTAAATAATTTTCCCAATTTGCATTTCAGCTTACGCCAAAAAGTTCGGAAAGACAATCAGAAAGGTAAGAAACTGTCAGCTTTTTAAACACCTCCTACCAAAGTTTCCAGTATGCAGAATAATTGTTCTCGTTTGCTAGGGATATACTGTACTTAAATATTGATTTCTGAAGCTTATCTCCCTTTGAGTTCCCCAGTGTGCCTGGAGTAGCTGCAAATAAGGGCTATTTAATTACAGGCTAACCTTAAGCATGCAGCAGCCCTTAGCATGCAAATGGAACTGCCCTTTCCATTGAACTGAATGGAGCAGACCTTGTAAGAGTGAAAATATCAATGCACACACTGAAAATGACTGAATCCAGAATTATTATTTTTAAAATTCTCATTTCAGGTTCACATTTATGCTCTTAAACTGTAATTTTTAAAACCTTTTCTCTCTGGACTTCTTTTCTGGACAGGATATTTTAGATGAACCTCAGGCCCGTCGTTCTTTCTCACAACAAGATGATGTTGCTGAATCAAGGAAGGATCACCTGAGAAAATCTCCTTTAATTGGGAAAAACTTCAGAAAAGCAGCACCATCATCTTCTAAGAAAGCAAAGAAAAGAGGTGTGTTTTCCAGCAAGAAAATCAGGTTCCTTTCTGTCTGATTGCCTAAAACTCTGAAGAGTTGAATAAAAGTCAGTTGGGTCATGAAACAGCCCTCTGTGTGTGGAGGCCAGAGGCCAGGCTCCTTTCCAGAGCCACTGATCCCAGGGAATCTTCATTTTGTCCCACATGGTGTTGCACTATGACACCTGCTATAGGAAGCCTGTTTGTGTTTTGGAGAGGTTTTCATGGACCACTACTGGCAGAAGAAAAGGTTGCTGGAGCAGAGGTCAGCTGGTCAGTTAAAAAGCTAAAGAAAGTACATATAAACTTTATTGTGATGTGTAATTCTAGGGTTAGGCACACCCTCCAGGGTTAATTTAGGGCTCACTTACCTCACAAGATTGTGTGACGGTAAGATGGAACAGGGAGAACTATATGTAAGCCGCCTTGAGCTCCTTGGAGGAAAGTCAAGATACCGGTAATTATAAACATAGTCAATGTGTCATATCTCTCTAAGCATACTAGATAGTGGGCACCACTCCACATAACATACCATCCAACCTGGGCTCTGAGGTTGGCTGGGTGGGAGGTTCTCATTATCCCACCATCAGCTAAACCAGGTGAGGGTAGCCAATGGATCTCAAATCCTCAGGGAGTCAGGGACTTTGTGTGCGAAGACAGGCTCTGGTGGACTGAGCGATGAGACTAATAGTAGGTCCAATGGTCAGGAAAAGTGGTTTCTGCACATACTGTAGAGAGAAGTGAGGGGCAGATGGGGCTTGTCAAACTGGGAAGGTAGCCCTTCCAGAAGAAGGAAAACTCTGGTCCTAAACCTCTTCTGCCTTGTGGGGTATCTTCGGTAGAAGAAAAGGCTTAAGGAGTAAACTCTGCACAAATCTGGAGTCCCTAAGACGGTTGGATGATGTGCAGTATGCCTCCTTCCAGCAACCCCTGCAGCCAAGCTGGTGCCAAATGTTTTGCTCTTCCTTCCTTTGGACCTCCTCAGTGAGGCTGAGAAGTGGGCATTGTTGTACAGACAGCCCAGGACCTTCATAAACACTGCCCAGGCTTGTGCCCAGGGAGGTCACTTCCGTGCTAACACAGCAGTTTGACTTCACCCCTGGAGGCACACTCCATTGTCTCTTGAGGCAGATGGATGCCAACAATGGTAACTGAAAGCTAAGCTATTCAAATCTTAGGATGTGTTGAGCCCCTGCTTTTATCTGTGCTGGTATCATAATAATTCAATGGTAACGTCAGTTGTTTGTTTTCTATGTATTATATTTGGTTTTACAGTATTTTGGAAACCACTCTGTCAGTCTGTTGTAATGCCAAGCAGCTTAGAAGTTTGTTAATAATCAAACAGACCTTCTGAAAAACAGGCATATGGAAATGGGGGAGTAGAGGGGGGTAGATAGTGGTGAAGTGAACCTCAGGTATGTCCAGAATAAGCAAAGCTCCAGACGCGAGACACACCCATATGAACCATGTTTTAACAAGAGGCTATTTCGTTCTTTTCCAGCTTGTTTTTGGAAATACTGTGTGCAAAGCAAGTAGGTTTTTTGAACACATCAAATCAACGAACCTTTGTGGAGATTAAGGAATCCAGTTCTGACAATGAAATCTTCAAAATCTGAAAACATTCTTTTCAACAGAGAAGATTCAGCAGATATTAGTATAAATAACTGTTTGACCATATTTGCTTTGTGCGCATATGTATTTGAAAGACTCGTGTCAGTATTTAAGATTCATGTCAAGTATTTTTATTTTCAATGATAATATAATAAAATAATTTTTATACAAGCAATGTAGCATAAATGGAATGTCCACAGTAAGAAGCAGAGGAATGTTTATGGCTGGTTTTAAAACTCTCAGACTGTATTTGGGGGGATTACTGTAAACATGAAGGGTTAATGGTAAACAAGCCTGTTTCTCTTATTTGGGGGCGGGGGGCTGGATCAAGCCAGAGCAGGACACTTGACAGGTGGGCAGATCCACACACCTGTCAATCACCTGATATATGACATCAGGTGATTCAACTTCAAGGGAGAACTGTGAGTCCATAAAGTCATTCCATGTTCTTCCTTTGCAGCCCTGATTTGAATTCAAGCCACAGCTGCAAAGAATCCTGCTGTATGCAAACCTATCTCTCTGTGGGTATAGCCGCCACTTGGGAGCATCAACCAGGAGATCCTGAGTGGAACCAATTCGAGCAGGGCTTGCATTTAATGCAAAATTCAATTTTGGGAGTGTACTCTAAGGCTCCCAATTGCTCCTTTGCAGCTGCAGCTTTACCTGCCCCACACCTGTTGTATGATGACAGATGTGTGGCATGTGGGCATGGCTGAGGGGAAATAGGACCCCTGTCAGGCTTAATTTGGCCCATGGGCTGCAAGTTCTGTATGCCTGCTCTAATTATACATAAATAGGTGTCCTAGATACTTTTTCAAAATTGGACTTGCCTATAGCTGATGCTAGGAAACTCTCTTTAACATGTCCATTCACTCCTATGGAAAATATTAATGTATCAGATGCCCTATTATGTACATACATGGAACATCACTGTTACTTGCTCTTCCTTTGATTCATGGACCACTTGTAGAGGATACTGCAAAGAAGAATTTCAGGTACAGGAAATCTAAGAGTAAATAGTACCAACACTAGAGCAATAGATTTGGTGGCCTATGCAAGTAAGTTGGAATGAATAGAGGAGAGTGAAGAAGCTTATGCAAGTCATCTTCCAGTAAAACTTTTTACTGGGGTTAACTCTTAAAAAGGTACCTTTTTGCATCAAATGCTAAAGAATGAACTCCGGTGATCAAAACACAATATGCACTGTTCTGTGGCATGCCAGTGACTAATGCAGAAGTCTTTATAAGTGAATGAGTCTCTTGAAGCCATTCAAAAGATAGTCAAAAGCCACTTGCTCTTTGTGGGACTATATTACGCAGTGTCTTAATATTGTGTGTGTTTTCCTCACGTATCAAATTCCATGGAAGTAACAGCCAAACTTTTCCTTTCATTTCCTTGCCCCTCTGGTTTCACATCATGGAATAACTTAATATCCTCTCTTTTTGCTTCACAGAAAAGGTGAAGCCTTACATTTGTACATCATACTAGAAATCAAAGGTGCAAAGAGTTTCTGATATTTTAAAAGACTGAGCACAATGCAGCTACAGCAAAGCGCTTTTCACTTAGGCAATTGGGCAGAGTTATGCTTCAGATTTTTCCATTTCATTCCTTTATCTCAAAATGCAAACTAGTGTCAGTATGTTCTTAAACGAAAATAAGCACAATACAACATATTTAAGTCAGAATTGGTGTATTTTCTTTTCAGGTTTGTAAGGCATAGTAAACAACTACAATGATTTTTTGTGCGGTTTAAATTATATAGACGTCTGAAGATGAGGGGGGAACAGAAATATTTCTTTCATGCATACTAAAAAGTCAAACTCAGCATTTAATCTTGGTATTGTAAAATAGTTTACGTTTTAAACAGGTTCACTCTATAGATTGGAAAAAATTGCAGGATTTAGCACTGTTTACATTAATCACAAAGAATGTGAAGCATGCTACATAAAGTACATTTTCATGATTATACAGTACAGAAGTAATATATCTTTAAAATAGAAAATCCACACTGTTGTAAAATTGGTAAGAAAAGTAGTCATCTTCTTGAGATGAAATATTTTCCTATTCTAAAAAAAGTTCAGCTTATCAAATATACATTTTAATCAATCTTGTATGGGGACAACTATACAGAGGAACTGATAGATGCTACACTTAGTGGAGAGAATTCCTAGTAGCCACAGTATAATCCAGTAGGTTTTGTCTGCTGTTGTGGCTCTTTTGTTCCTTTACACTTTGAACATGAACTTTCAGAAACATCACAGTAATAAAACGTGTTATTTTTCAAAGTCGTCCAAATGAATCCTGTTCCAAAAACAAGGATAAAGGGACCTCCTCTTCCTCAAAATTGCACAGCATTTGTGAATTTTATAAAACAATGGGGTGAGTAGGAAGAGGCCCCATTTCAATAGCATGAGGAAATGTTTTCATTTAGGCCAGGTTTACCCATGCCTGTTCATCACTTGATGACTGCAGCATGTGCTATTGAGCCATCTTAGAGCAACACCATGATGGAAGTTCCACGTCATCTGAAGACAAGAGATATTTTTTTAATGCATTCAGTTCACAAACTGGGTTTTAAATTTTCAAGTGTTGATTAATCAAGCAACGTCCATGCACTTCTTAATAAGCCCTTAACCTCTGGTTTTCAGAGTGCCTTACTAAGGAAAGGCCTCATTAACTTCAAGTAAGCTTGAACAGTTCAAACCTTGGAGCAGCAGGATGGGATAACAGCTATGAATTGCACAGTCCCTGCAGAGGCAAATCTGGTACAGCACACAGAATTTGCCCACAGCTTTGTAGCTGAGAGGTGGAGCTTCAGGAAGATGGAATGTATTTTTTTAACAAAATTTGACCCAGCCCTTTTATTTGTATTCATATGATATAATCTGTTACTTTCTATTATTTACACAGGTGAGTACAGTTTGTACACATGTTGTGTTGTGTTTTTGTCACATGGATCTTGTGAGGCAGAATGAACCGATTTCTGCTTTAAAAATACTTCAGTTGCTGAATATATTTGGCAATAGCTTAGAAATAAAATAAAAATTGTGACACTGACATCTGTGAGAAGCAGAAATCAGAGGTGGGAGATCAGCAACTTGTGTGGTAGACATAGAGAAAGGGCTTAAGGCTCCTGAATCTGTTCAGGGTATCACAGGGAACCTGTGATAAGCCCTTCTGAGTATCCAGTCTGACTTCCTTTCACCAATAAATGACCATCACCACACACAGCACCTGAAATTAGATGGTAAGAGCTTTAAGGTCAGTCTTGGCTCATGGATAGCTTTGAGCTATGGCATAGCTGTTTTTAGATATTGTAATGTTGCTACAATGGAATGCTTTCTGACATTGCAGTGCCATTGTTCGTTTGTACATATGTCCCAGCCTAAGTAGTAAGAAGCTGATGCAACAAAGCTTAGGGCTGTAAGCCACACAACATGTAAACAAGTCATCTGCAGCATGCTGGCCATAATGTTGAAGGGGGTCTAGAAGCGTATGATACAAGCCCATGGTTTAAGGGCGGAGATACAAGAAATGGCACATAGTAGACTAGATACACTGTTAAATTCCCCTGAGGTGACTGCCCCTCAAAACAGTACAATCCACATTTCTTAAAATCCATAGGTGTTCTCCCATTGACCAACAAAAAACGGACTTTATCTCATTCTCTCTGTCCTGATACGGTGATCAATGCTTACAGAAATACCTTTAACTATTGTTTAGAAATTTTAAAGCTGCAATTACTATCTAATCTAGATTCTAATATTGCTGCAAATGTTTTGAGTTTTGTTCTATTGCCAAAAAATAATACATATATTTGCATGTGCGTATGCGCATATCTGCAATGCGACAAATATACAATTATACTATACTTGAATCAGCAGATCAATAAAATAATTATTTCACAAGGATTGGCCAGTTTCATAACTTGAAACTTTGCAGCAGAGCAGACTCTTCATTTTATTCTTGAGGTTTTCCTTCTTTTAAAAAATCAAGCTCACTGAAGATATATAGAAATAGAAGATTCTTGATTTATTTCATTCTTTTTGCAACATCCAAATAGGCGAACTCTATTTCCCGATCTGCAGGACAAGTATTTGTGAACTCGTCTCTTGCATATGCATTGTTCAAATATCTCCAGATTCCAGTCATTTCAGATGGAAATTCAAAATTTCTGTATTTCTTTGCCACAACCTAACAGAGAGAAAAGGAAATCATCATACACGTGGTAACAGTTAGATTACACTCTATATGAAGATGCCTTTGAAGATTGCTCAGAGGCTCCAGTTGATGCAGAATACTGCTATTCTGATTCTGCAGGTCATAAAACAGAAGTCGCATTCACTTCAAGATCTACTCTGGCTGCCTATAAGCTTATAGCCTACTCCAAGGTATTGATGTTGGCTTAAAAGGTCTAAATGGCTTGGGAACCAAGTACCTGTTTGAGCAAGCTTCCCGTTATGTGTCAGCACAGCAACAAAGATTGTAGAGGGGGCCCTCCTCGCAAAGGTAAGGTAAAGGCAAAGGACCCCTGGATGGTTAAGTCCCGTCAAAGGCAACTATGGGATGCGGCACTCATCTCGCTTTTCAGGCCGAGGGAGCCTGACCAGTGTTCAGGATAGCAACCCATGCAAGCCCCTTCTTCATTGTGAAACTTCCTACCTCTGGGGATACATTAGACATCTTCTCTATATTAGTTATCTAGATTGTTTAAGATGGACCTTTTCACATAGATCTTCAAATCCTTGTGGGAGTGTGAACAAATTAATTTACTGAACAGTCCATTCGAAATATTGTGTTGCTGTCATTGGTGTTAAGGACTTTGATACCTTATTCCATACATTTTATTGCCTTCTGGTTCAAGGGTAAACAAGCACAGTACAGAAAGGAAAATCCAGACCTTGATGATATGTAGTTTTGGCAGGAGATTGCAGTCTGCTAGCGTGAGTTCATCTCCATCTAGGAATTTCCTTGTGGAAACAGTGAGTTCTTCAGTACTATAGGCATCGATTTCTTCAGGCAAGGGGGCATTTAAGTAATTATTCAGTTTCCTCAAAGCCTTCAGCAATGATTTTTCCAAATCTAGAATCAAATAAGAATAGAATAGAATTCCTAGCAGAGTTTGGAAATCTGTGATGATTGGTATGTGGCCCAAACAATACCCACCAGGAAGAAGAGGGAAGTAGCCACATGTTCAGGAGGACCTCAAGATTTGGAGAAATAGAAAAAATATAGAGAGACAATGAACTCAAATGTTCAACCTACCTCCACCCTCAATAGGACAAACTGGCAAAAATGTACGTATATGTGTGTGGTGTGTGTGGTCATATATATGAAAAGGGAGGGGGAAAGCACCAGAGATCAAATCCAGACTGTGGAACCACTCATTCAAGCTCAGAGCACAAATTGGATTCAAACTATGGTGGGAGCAGGGGGGCGGGGATGACTCTGGTTGAGAGAGGAAGTGGCAGAAGAAAGAGTTAGGCAGTGGGAGAAAGCAGAAAACAGGCTGATACTGAACAAAGATGTAGAAAGGACAGAGCACATGAAGGAAGTGTGGGTTTTGTATGGGATATGAAGCATTAAAAAATCCACCTCATGGGCAAAGCCCACAAGAAGCAGCCAAATGTTTCTTGATCATGCTTGATAGTCATGAAATGTTGACTGTCATTTAGAACAGACAAACAGAAAACTCACATTAGTTAGGATACATGCAATAATCTTTTACAGGTACACATGGAGAAAACATATTTGATATGGCTATCTGCAGCAAGGAGATAGGTCAGTGGAAAAAGTGTTTGCTATAACTCTGCAATATATGGTGAAGACATGGTCTATTTCCTTGTATCTGCATATGTGCAAACAGTTGTCATTTAAACAGGCAATGAACTGCAACACGATTTTGGAAAGTTGGCATTCACAGGCAAATTATCTGCATTTACAGAACAAATTATGTGTGTTCACTCATTGCACAGTCATAGAAATCGGCAGCTCATTTGTTTACAAAGCCACTTTTTTGTTTTGTCTAAATCAGTTGTCTATCCATATCCCTCCTATAGTTTAAAAACTATAGTCCAATTCCCATCAGCCCTAGCCAGCATGGACAATGGTCAGAAATTATGGGAGCTTCAGCCCAGCATATAGAGAGCCATAGGCCAGCCATCTCTGGTCTAGAACACTAGAACAGTGGTTTTTACCATTCAGAATAAAGCTTGCAGTCCATAAGGCTCAGTACTTACTCAATAAAGACATGTTGTAGTAAATATCACAAACTTGCTATATATTATACTACCAACATTACCATATTGGCCTGAATAGAAGCCGCACTCCCCCCCCCCCCCCATTCCGACCATGAAAAGTTAAAGTGCGACTTATAATTGCGACCTTACAAAAAGCCTGATATCGCTTCTGAAACAGACATACAGTGAACCCCTCCTTAACTCTTTAACTCCTGCTGGAGCCCTGGCAAGCACTCTGAGCAGTGGGATGGCGAGTGCCGGCGGGGGCTGCTGCGGTGGTGGTGCCATGCAATCCCCCTCTGCTGTGCGCCCCCCGCAGAATGTCTCTTCTTGCCCGGCCAGCCCCCACTGCTGTTAGGGAGCAAGGGGGTGCCCACCCAGTGGGGGGGACAGCTGGTGGCGGGTTGCAGGTGCCTGGACAGGCTGCCACCTCTGCCACCGCCCTAGGCAACCCTCCCCCAACTGCACCGTATAGGGCTGGCGCTTTGGAGGAATGTTGGGGCGCCCTCGGCAGCCCCCCATCATTTCCCAGTGCGCCGTGCGGGTCCTTTAGGGCCGCAATTTTTTGCTCAGACCATGTGGGCGCCACCAATTTTAAGGGAGCGGCTTATATTCGAGTATTGTCTTTTTTTTCCTTTCCCCCCTTGATTTTTAAAGGTACAGCTTATATTCGGGTGAGGCAGTACGGTTCTGTTTATACTAAAATGATACTAGACAGCAAAAGATAGCACAAAATGGCTTACACTATGACATATATCACTTATGAAACACTAATTATTCTAATAAATTTCTATAATAATGCCAGTGAAAGCTGCCTGTTTTTCCTCCAGAATTGTTTTGACAGTATTAGCAAAGTGCAGTACTACTGGAAAAAGGAGAGGGGAAAGAAGGTAACATCTATGAACTATAGGTGTATATAACTAATTCCCCCAATTTAGAGATCCACCGGTAGCATTATGATAGCAACAGTCACAGCACCCATCACCATTGTCAGCTCAGACATATTTACATGCTTAGCAACAAATATAAGGCAGGAAACACCGACCTTTGACAAATGGCCAAAAATGAATGTAGGCATACAGAGAGCCAAAGGCATTTGTTCATAGTAACAATACAAAGGTTTAAATACTTACTTTCATTGGCATCTTTCCTTGTGTTTTTAATGAACGCAGAAAATTTAGCAAACACATCGTTTCCTGCAGAGTAAGATTCCAGATGATTTGGTGCAAGTTTGGGATATCTGAAGAATTTAAGACATAATAATTTAATCCTAACTCAGTGCTTCTCAACAATTTACTTAGGAGGTTACTGATTGGGCTCATATTTCAATAAGACTCAGCTGTGACAATCATATATCTTAATCATATGTTAACTATCTTATTTTTTCCCATTCCATGGTCTATATAACTTATTGATCTAAAACAACAGCCAACTTCTGCTTCCATTGAATCCAGCATAGCCAAGTACAATACCTTGGAGGTGCTAATTTTTCTTCTAGGAATTCCTCGATTTTATTCACATCTATTTTCACATCACCATCAAAAGTCATAAATGGAGGATTTGTTCCTGGAGCTAGCTTCTGTAAGTCTGCAGGCTTCCTAAAATGAGACAAACATTCTTTTTAGAAGAAACCTGTCCTGCTAGATAAACCTTGCTTTTTAAAGTTAGCTATCTGATTTGGCATTAAAAATATTGTTATCTGAGGCTGCACTCCTATGCAGGAATAATTTCCATTGACCTAACCAAGGCTTACTTCTGAGAATATATGTATATATGTGCTCTGAATGTCATACTACTTAAAGATACGTTTAGCAGGATGGAATAATCAGATTTAGCAATCTGGAGACAACAAAGTGTGCTTAAATTCAGTTGAATTTAATATGCATGTAATATTTACTGAGAACTTAAATTCCATTGCTTTAAATTGGCCTTTTCTGCTCCATTTTCTTTGACTGTATTCAGCATGAGAGTGGGGAATAAATATTTTTCTCATGCTCTTGTTACTTTTGATCTGTAAAAAAGGGATGTAGCCAACATTATAAGATTTTCATCAACAAATGTTGCAAGAAGAACAGGTGCTTTAGTCAAGCTGAGTTGTGAATGTGAGCTACACAACTCTGAGAATAAAAGTTGCTGGGAGCCAAATAAAAGCTAACAGCACATTTCATTCTCAGAACTGCTTACCCTACATTCCTAGCTCAGTGTGAAGGGAAATCAAAAGAAAATGTCCAAGTCAACTCCCCAATCTCCAGGACACCCACAGAATTTGGTGTCAATTTTATACATCAGTTTAGTTTTCAGTACACAGAGTGGTATTGATATTGATAAACTGATATTTTATAATGGTTTGTATATCCAGTGCTTTTTTTCTTTAAAAAATGTTTAGGGGTACTCTCATTTTCCCACATACTGAAATACTGCCCCTCAATGAGTCCAAACTTAGATTCACAAAATATTTAGGGGTATGAGTACCCCTGCATCCCCCCCCCCGAAAAAGCACTGCGTATATACAAAGAATAAATATAAATAAATTAGTATCTCTCAGAGTAATTAGAGATGAGTGCTCCTAATGTAAGGCTTTCAAAGACTTTCGGGTTTTATTTTAAAAATGAAAATGAAATATAACTCACCGTTTCAAATCCACAGTGGTAACATTAAATATGACACCCTTTAACCAGAGAATCATGAAGAGGCGCTGAGAAAATGGACAGTTTCCAATACTCTCCCCATCACTACCAGCCTAAAACAAATAACACTATTTTTAATTAAACAATGACATTAGTAATCATTGAGAAAATGCAAAAGTGGAAGCCCTGCAATAAGCAAATACAATCTAACTGAAATAATTCTTCTCAAGTATTTCAGAATACAGTGGTGCCTCGCAAGACGAAATTAATCCGTTCCGCGAGTCTCTTCGTCTTGCGGTTTTTTCGTCTTGCGAAGCACGGCTATTAGCGGCTTAGCGGCTATTAGCAGCTTAGCGGCTATTAACGGCTTAGCGGCTTTAAGAAAAAGGAAACAAACTCGCAAGAACTCGCAAGACATTTCGTCTTGCGAAGCAAGCCCATAGGGAAATTCGTCTTGCGGAACGACTCAAAAAACGGAAAACTCTTTCGTCTAGCGAGTTTTTCATCTTGCGAGGCATTCGTCTTGCGGGGCACCACTGTAGTTTCTTTCCACCTTTCCTTCAGTCATGCAGTGGCGTAGCGTGGGTTGTCAGCACCCAGGGCAAGGCAAGTAATTTGCGCCCCCTAACCCGTGGATTTGCGCCCCCTAACCCGTGGATTTGCGCACCCTAACCCTAACCCCCAGATGTTGCACCCGGTGCGGCCGGCCTCCCCTGCACCCCCCACGCTACGCCACTGCAGTCATGCAGTGATGAAACCGCAGTTGCAAACCCGTTCCCACACAAACTCTTGCATTCCTTTGCATCTAAATAGAAAGCAGAAATCCAAATATGTTTTATACTGTTTTGCATTTTTTGTACCTTAAAAGCTGTAATTGATTAACTTCAGTCCTGCATGGATGTCCTTGTCAGGAAAACTTGGCAACCCCAGAAGATTTTCTTTAAAGAATTCCTCTTCCAGTCAATTGCCATTTCATATTTACTTATGTCAGAAACAAAAATGTAAAACCCCATTGCTTAGGACTTCTTGGGTGTAAATGTCTTCTGAATTGCAACCTATTATCAATAAACACTTTTAATAATGAAGTGGCAGCTGATGTAGTATTCCTTAGGTAACAGAATAGTCTTCTCAAAAGAAAGACTATTCAGATTTTAAAACTTTACAATGAAATTTAATGGATTAAAGAACTACACAGTCAAGATCCTGTTTCCATTAAATATAAAGGTTTAAAGGTTGGCTTGCTCTAACAATTTGTTTCCCCCCAAAGTTAAATCATTACTGCCAAAGGGCTAGCTTGATTTTTCTCTAGTTACCTTGGAGACTGTAAATTTTAGAGAGTCGCAATCATCAGTCTCTACTTTCCAGGCCAGTTACACAGATGAAGAATGTGTTAGCATGAGAATTGCAGAAACAAAGCAGTCAATGGATTTATTAATTCATTTCTAAATTGAAAAGACAAATAATGTACAATCTAGTTACTGATACTGACTCAGCATCACTTGCCAATAAGGTATCCTGTCTTAAGTAAGAGATGCTGGGATGCATTCTGAGGTGCTGTAGCATGGACTTCAAAAATTACTCAAGCCTGCCTCACCCTTGCACAGCATAGAATTTCAGTCTTTCTTGGAAAGCATTTAATTTCCACAGCAAAGTTTCTCCATTTTGATTTCTTGATTTAATACAATACAACATATAAGTGATTTATATTTGTTTCTCAACAGAAAGGGATCTAAATGAAATAGGCAGGTTGGTCAAACAAGTTTTGGACTTTTAAACGAACCCTTACGCTATTTCAACTTTCAAATGCATTTGAATGTAATGTCTGCACTGCAATTTATGAATTAAACTGTGATTAATCAAATCATGCATTTTTATTAATCAAACACTCAAAGTTTATTAAATGAGAAATGAAAATCCTCAAGGTTTCTTGAATCAGAAAAGAAAATATCAATATGTGCATAAACAGCTTCATTCACTTTCCTTTTGAGCACTCATGTCTGGAGTAGGGAACACAATTTCCTTCCTGTCAAATCACTTGATGCCACAATGACATCGGTGATTTGCCAGAACTTTAAAAAGTCCTCCGCCGTGCCTTGCAAAAATCCTACTACACTGCTGATCACAGGCTAGAAGTCACCACCTGTCAGGTGATGAACAATTACTTCAAGCCAGGTTTGCTTAACAATCAGCTGTGCAGTTGAGTTCTCCATAGGAGCTCAGCCACACAGCCAATCCCTGCAAAAAGGAGGCTTGAAGTCTTTACACAGGAAACTCTGCTGTGCAGCTGTTACAGCCACATCTGACATCATATATGACATGGGTATGGTCTGGGGGAAACAGCCTTCTGGGACAAATTGGGCCTGCCCAAATATGCTCACAGACTGGAGGTTCCCCTACCACATGTTGTAGGCTCTCAGCATGATTCCATGACTGGCTATACACATAGTTGGTACATTGCCCCATAGAGGTGGAATTCAGTGCATGGAAATTGGTACAGGATGTACTGTGTGCGGGTAAACAAGAGAACCAGCATAGATGGCTGCATGTGAAGTCAATTGTTTATCCTTCCTCTGAGCCACTAATTATTATCTGCTTCTGGATCCTACTGTGACCGTGCAGTCCCATCAAATTACCATGTGTGGAACTAGTCATATACAGCCCCTTTTGGTATGTGGGTGTCTCATTCAAGACTCATCAGTGCAGCATCTATGGGTATAATTATGGAATAGAGGTAGGCAAATGGTTCCAGGAAAATAACCATTATTAAACTGCATCCTGCAACTATTTTCATTTATTTCATTAGGGTGCCACTAGCAGCTACTTGAATTCACTTCTGTAATGAGTTTAAGTGGATCATTGATAGGTCTTTTATAAAAGTGTGTTATTAAAAAGCGATCCAGCCAAAGTTAAGCACATCCATCTAACCGGTTTCAATGGAAGAATTAAATGCAAAATCAATCCCCCCCCCCCACTGAAGTAAACTGGATTTAAATCTGCTAGATTCATGTGTATTGTGCACAAAAGTTTTCTGTGTCGTAAAACAGAACTTCAGTCTTTGCCATTCTTGAAAATAGTGTCTTCATTGAGGGAGGCAAACCCAGCTAACACCTGGATTTTATAAAAGTGTGCCACCTAGTGGTGCTGTAATATCTAGAATGTGCTGTGTAGTATAACTTTTACAAGCAACTTTCACTGTGGAGAGAAACATAATGCATCCTTTGTAAAAGTATCAGGGGTATGTCTGGAACTCATACCTTAGACTTAACACTGATGTTAGTTAATATTGTTTATTTTGTTATTCATAATGTTCTTTTCTATTGAGGATTTATTTGGTCGTCAAGTTAACAACCTTGAGCACTTTTTAATGTAAAGGTGGTATACAAATGAAATAAATAACCTGCACTCTATCGATCAATGTATCTATCTATCTATCTATCTATCTATCATCTGCTAGACCACTCCACAGGTTTTTATTTAAATTTAAATAAACCAGAACTTTTTGCCTTATTAATAGGCCCTTGAATGGCCCAGTTTGAGAACTGTGGCAAAAGAGCATCAGGGGAGAGAAACTCCTCTTCCTTTTCTTGAACTGCATAAGCCACATGCCCCTAATATAACCTGTATCTGCCCCTTCCGCTTGTGAGGTAAAAATCCCCCTCAGCCCTCCATGGCTCAATTAGCCTTAATCCCTAACTAAATATACACACCCAATGGAAAACAGAGGTATATTTCTCCTACAAACCTCACAGCACTTTTTTCAGAATTAGTTTCATCTGTATTTTATATTTTCAGCCATAAAAATAAAATAAAAAAATTAGAAACCGTCAAAAGCCTGATACGGAATGGTGTGTTGTTTGATGCCACTTTTGGCTACTTTGCATATTCCTTTACAGGTCACTGGATTAAAGGGGTGATATTCTTAGCCTACACAGATCAAAACTGAATTGTTCTTCCTCGTAAATTCTGCTGAAAGATCCAGTTCGTTCTGCACTTTCCCCCTTAAACTGAGTCAGAAGTACACAAGCAACGAATCAAATTCTATTTGCTATTTATCCTTTTGCAAGAATTATGGTTTCAAGGTGCCAATGCTATTTCTAATCCGTATTTAATAACATGGCAGGAGACCAGCTGAACACTGTACATCAATAAGAAGGGGAGAGAACTTTATAGCCTTGTTAAATTCTTAAGGGGAATTATTTTAACAAAAGAGCATTATATTCTGGAACACATTATAGGGCTGGGAAAAACAGATTAACTGGTACTTTAATTACACATCCTGTTTTATAGTTTAACATATGATACTTCACATTTCGTATATTTCTCACTCCTCTAAATGGAAGACACATTTAAAATAAAAAATCTATAACGTACCATGAACAAATACTTTTAAAAACATGAGAGGGCATTGGGAAAGCTTGGCAGGGATTAGATGGAGAAGGAAGCAATCTAGCAGCGTTGATCCTAATTCCTGTTTGGGGCCCAAATGGTGAAGTTAAAACATGAAAAGAATTGTTCTCTCCTTTGTGGGCAGGATTTGTTTATTTTTAAGTTAAAGATGGAAAATACCTTGGGTGCATTTTGTGAATAAAGGGCTTGAATAAGTGGGGGGTAACCACCTTTCGCCATGAGAAACTTAAAACCTTGGTAAAAGTTTGGAAACTGGAACCAATGAGAACAGCAGTAGAGTAGAGCACAGAATAACATTGATTAACACCACTGCTGTTAGTGGGGCTGAAAATGAGCGGTGGTGAAGTCATGTCAGGAGAGCAGAAGGACTTGTCTTATGTGAAATTCAAATCTTCCTCAGATTTTCTCCCAGAAGCTGTTGCAAGCATCACTCAATCTAATGGCAAACTAAGGTGTTGAGTGTTGACAAAAATGGAACCAAAAAATGGGGATACTGAGAAACAAAAATGTTCTAGAATGCTCTGGGAAACTCCAGGGTTTGTAGAAGTACCCCCAACAAACTCCCACAAAATATTAAAAGCTCTAAGGGAAACCCAAAAACAACCAAATGAGGACTGGGAATTTTCCACAACTGTGGAATGTTGTGTGTCGATTTGTAAAAGAAAAATGCATAGCCAGGCTGGGAATGACCTGCTGGAGGGCATGGCTTGTTGGCTTGAACTCAGAACAGCAACACTTCATGTCATGCAACATTTCTGCAATATCTGCAATATTATACAAGCAAAAGTGGTGGACTCAATGGAGAGCCAAACATACTGCCCTGCTTTTCCCACTCCATTCCGCCATGGCATCCAATTAACCCTGAACTCAACCGCAGCACCCCTACATAAGCATATAAATTACACAGCACTTGGCATGGGCATCTCTCTCTCTCTCTCTCTCTCTCTCTCTCTTTCTTTTTCTTCTTCTTCTTCTTCTTCTTCTTCTTCTTCGCCCTCATGCACTTAGCACAGTGGTGTCAACTGTGCTCTTGAAAACTATGGTGAAATGGTCATGGTGAAAAGAATGAGCACTTTGCAGAAAGAGCCAGGCCAAGCACAAATATAGCAGACTGCCAACACCTCTCTTCTCAGAACCATTACAGGTACCCCACCACACAGCGTTGGTGTCAGAACCTAACATACTTGGCCTTTTCCTGGTGTTCATGAGCCCCAGCAGGGTCCACCAGGGTTGGAAGGTGGTGCGCTCTCCTTCATTAGAAGTTTTAAGGCAGAGGTCGGGTGGCCATCTGTCATGGATGTTTCAGCTGAGAGTCCTGCATTGCAGGGGGTTGGGTCGCTTCTAACACTATAATTATATGATTCTATGGATGTCCCCAAAACAACCTAATGATGCTTCATACAGTTTCTTTATCATTGCCTCATCATTCTCCTATGAAAAAATGATGAGGTGTTGTTACAATCCTAATCCACTAACATTGGCAGGTATAGTAAAAAAATAGTAAATATAGTAAATGGCAAAACTCAATGCATTTCTGGGGCATTTTATGCCACATGTGATTTTTTTTCTTTCTAGAAGGAAAACAGTAACTACTAACTGGCTGAAATTTGTGGGCATGGTACAAGTGACATTTATCAGATTATTACCCTCTGTAAGTATTTTCATAGGGGAACTCTCTTCTTCATTGTTACTGAATATAGTCTAGAGGTGGGTCCTCACATTCATAAGAGTCTTCCTGCCTATATTCTTGGCTGTTTCTTGGATGTCAAGTCACAACAGAAGGCAGCCTCCTGTACAGCAGCACTAATGTCTTGTGTAGCACCTGTCATAGGGCAGGACCCAAGCTCTGTTGGAAAGAAACAACTGTGACTTTGAATTGGAGTTGCAGTTATTATTCCCAGGAGCACCACATACGAAAAACAAGCTACATAACTAGCAGCTGAAATGATCATTTGGTAATCTATTGGCACATAATCTCTTCACTCTTTCATCAGTACAGAAACAAACATTAGCAAATGGAAATGTATACAGTACTTTATCGCATCATGGGATTTTATTATCAGCACTAAAATCAGATAACCTTCACATGCTACAACACAACTCAAAATAACTTGGTTCTAAGAACAAGAGCTGTGTGATTCCCTCAGATCATCAGACATTAGTGACTGGAATAGGGCTGCATGGTTCTATAGTGATGGCCTACTGCTCTCAACCTTCCCCCCCCCCGCCTGCGCCCCAAATCTCTCTGGCCACTCGCTACTGTGGAGCTGGTAGCCCCTCTCCCCTGGGATCAATAGTGGAAGTTCAGTTCCAGTGACCTGGGAAAAAGGACATAGGCAGAAAGAAGAGTGGAAGGAATGTTGTGATGGAAGAAGTGATAGTGTGCGGCATCATGAAGGCAACCAAGGGAGCTGAAAGGACAGAGCAGATTTTGAAGATGTGCAGAAGGCTGCAAGGAGAAGGTGATGAAGGAGGTAGTCATATTACATGAGCAGAAGTCTTTCCACTCAAACAGTTGCAGCACTGGACACCAACCAACCAACCAAATAAATAAATAAATAAAGCAAGTTAGCAAGCTATAGGAACCAGCCACAGGGGCTTAATAACACAGTCACTTGAAGAGTTATGAAAGGAATTCATAATTCCAGCTTTTCCTAAGCTGCATTATAGAACCATATGTTTTCTGCCTTCTCTATTTAAAAAGCTGCTAAAAAAGATGAGTTGAGTAATAAAGAAATCTTTTTTGATATGTTTTTCACACAAAAAATTCATGAACTCCATTCCAAGTTCTAAATATAATACTTTTGAGTAATTTAAGAAATTATGATGATCAACATAATTTTTCCAAGATCCAAAGTAAATTCATAGTAATCTGGATACATTGAATGTGTCTGTATACCAAGTGAGACCATTTGTCCCTCCATTTCAGTATCAGCTACACGGACTGGTTGTAGCTCTCCAGGGTTTTGGACTCAGGGCTTCCCCAGCTCTACCTGAAGATGCCATGGACTGAACCTAGATCATTTTTCCTGTCGGACAAGTGCTCCACTACTATGACCCTTCCACAAACAGATGAGTTTTCTTTACATTTTATTCAACTTCCATTTAAAATAACAAGGGATGCAATCCCAGTTCTACTTATCTGGGAGTAAGCATCTGAGTAGATATCATTAGGGCTGCAGTGCAAGTCACTGATGGTGACCGTGTATGAACCCTTCCTTAATAAATGACAAGCAGGGGTCATTAGTGTAGTGCCAGCAAAAGCAATGCTGCATATGAAGCCTCTGGCTGACCCCCCCACTCACTGCCCCCTTTGTTCATGTGATGGTGAATGTGATTACCCTTTTCTTCCTCGAAAAGTACATAGAGCTGAAGCAGGAAGTTGAATCAGGGACACTCTTTCCCGCTTCATCATTCAGCTCTTTGTGCTTTTAAAAGCTCAGATTCATTCTACTGGATCTGTTAACCAGTTCACTTGGAAAAGGGGTGTTTATGTACACATGCTTTCTTTCTCTTAGGTTGGGGCTGATTCAGGGGAGGGGGATGCCCACAGCACTCATTCAAAAATTAAAAAGATGCCCAATGACCTAGAAAAATTGGTGATTCCATCAATAAAGCAAGCAGGAGAAGGGTGCTTGCAAATTAAATTCCATAGATATAAAGCACTAAACTGCCAATGGAGTATGCCACTTGAAACATTTTATTGTAGTTCAGTTCTGGTTAAAGGAGTCATTTATGAGTTCCTGCCATTTCCCCACAAACAGAGGCTGCAAGCAACCTTCTTCCCAAACCGACAAAGTATACGTCTCAATCCCTATGGCTTAAAATCAACTGCACTCTGTTGCCACAGTCTCACAATGGAGAAGATGGGTTTCCCCTGCTCTCAGAGCATTAGCAAATGTTCTGCTGCTCCCATAGTAGTGTCCTGGTTTTGCATTAAAAAAAAAATCCATTTACCTTAAGCAAACCTCAGAGGATCTGCTTTGCTATGGATAAGCATGCAAGCTTATCTGAACTTCCCTGAACTTCTTTAGTAGCAAAGGGACTTTCTCATTTCACTTAAGGAAACACTTGCTTAATAAGACAAAGACCAAGTGCATTGACTTTTTAAAAAACTTACATCGAATGCTAGTGCTGTAACAGATGAAAATGAAAAACAACAGTTTGATAGAGCTATTTTCCGCCAGAGAGGAGGAGAACCAGGGAAATTATATATGGTTTAAAAGAGAGGTTTAAAAAGGCTGTGGGCACACTAAAGATGACTTGGTGGTATAGCTCAGTTGGCAAAGCATGAGACTTCATCTTAGGATTGTGGGTTCAAGCTCCAAGTTGGGCAAAAAGATTCCTGCACTGCATGGAGTTGGACTAGATGAACCTCATTAATTCTATGATTAATTAACTTAGGCTGAAAAATCAAAGAGTTTCTATTATTAGCATTGTAATACATTGAAATAATGGCTCAGTCCCAATAGGAAATTTTATTATATTGGCCCCTAATCTCCATATTTAGAATTGCTTACAATTTCTCATATTGATCTGTTAGAAACAGATCAAGTATTTGGAATACAGTGTATAATCCTGTTTAGAACATTCTCCTGAGAAGAGGGAAAGCCTCCCTCTGGCCTTGAGGGCCTAACCTTGCATTATCTTTTCACCTGAGCCATACTTTTATCTCATTTGGGTTTGACCATTCTTCTAAAGCAAAGTATTTGGTCATCTACATTTATAAGTTGTTTGCTAATAAAGTTCGAGGTCAATTTACATGAAAGTTTGGACTGGATATGAGTTTTAACTGAACTGGATAGATACATAGATGAAGAGGCCAGAACAATAATCTCACTAGAGCAATTGTGGAGGCAAAGGACTTCACCAGTTTTAAAACTTATTTGGATAGCTGTATAAAGGACAGGGTATTGGGTTATCTTCTTCTTTGGGAAATACCCATACCTAAAAAAATTAAAGCAGGCAGAGTGAAATTGGCCCATTTTTTTAATGTTGTGGCTGGATTTTTCTTGCACTCTTATTCTTTTCTCATAAATATTTCTGCTGAACACGGTTGCATAAAAAGAATTGCTACCCAAAAACCTGAACATCAAGTGCAAATAACCAAAGCCAAAATAGACCAAAGAATCATGACGAGCAGTACCAGTGCTTAACAGGCACTCATGAGTTTAGGCAAGTTACTCCTCTCACAGATCAACAAATCTTCGTAATAAAGTATAAACTCTGAGTGACTCTGTATACATTTTCCTATTAACTGCAGTCTCCTTTAATGGCATGAGCGTGTATATTTACAAGATTCCCTGCAGAAGCATATATCTGCCAGTTTATTTTAACCTTTCATAAGCAGTTTATCCATATTTTCAGGGATGCAGAATGTGGAACAGGGGTGGCGAACATCAGGCCCAGCGGCCAAATTGCAACTCTCCAAACCTGTCTTTCTGGATTTCAGTTCTCAGGCTGCATAGGCCCTCTCCCCAGGCTACATCCTTCCCCAGCCTTTCTCCACACCTTCTGCAAGTGCTTTTGCCTGGCTGCAGCTGGAGGGAATTCTTGGACTGTGGTAATGCCTTTTGCTGGCCTGGAGGGAAGTGTGTATAGAAACATCTGACTTGTGTGTTGCTGGAATGCCGCTTACTATACAAAAGTAGATGCAGCTATTGTTCCACCCACTTTTGCCCCAGAGCGCCATCCAATTTTGCTTCTGGACCTTACCCATCACTGGCATCCAGCCCTCATAGGTTTTCCCACAAAGGAATGCGGCCTTTGAGCTGGAAAAGGTTCCCTTTGTAGTCCTGAACCTCCTTTTTATGCCTATCTTTTTCCAGATCTGGGATGACAGTAAGCACCACCACAGGGCTGCCAAGACATTGTGCCGCCTGAAATGTGGAACAAATAGCACCCCAGCTGCTATTCCATGTACAGTAGCCAAACAGACTGACAGTTGAATCTTATGGCCACACTGGTAATAGGACAGCCCCATCCACTGCATCTGAGGCAGGATGCTACTATTCAACTTTCAACAAATAAACAAATAATAAAATATTGCAGCTGCTCCCTCCCTGCATCTTATACCTGAGTTGGCCCTGCACCACTCATTTGAATTTTGCTGAAAACCTTAAAGGCCTAATGATAGGTTACATACATAAGGAAACCCTCTCTTGGGAAATTGTGGGGGCGGGGAATAATATTGAGCAGAGAAGCAGTGGGTGAGGAAAGAGTTAGGCACACCTATCCCCACAGTTTCACTGCTTTAATTTCTCTGCTCTAGCCATTTACAGTGGTACCTCGGGTTAAGAACTTAATTCGTTCTGGAGGTCCGTTCTTAACCTGAAACTGTTCTTAACCTGAGACACCACTTTAGCTAATGGGGCCTCCCGCTGCCGCTCCGCCACACAATTTCTGTTCTCATCCTGAAGCAAAGTTATTAACCCGAGGTACTATTTCTGGGTTAGCAGAGTCTGTAACCTGAAGCGTCTGTAACCCGAGGTACCACTGTATTTGCTTTATTGCCCCTTGAATATGGATTTAATGTATAGCGCTACCCCATATGTCACATTGGAGGAAGAAAAAGAAACAGACAGATCTTACAAATTGTAAATTACAATTATATTGTAAAACCCATCATTATTGCACTAAATTAATGTACAGACCCTGGGTTTTATTTTAGTGTTTATTAATGTTTTGGTTTTGCTATATTCAATTTTGTTGTTTTAATTAGATATATTGTAAACAAGCCTGGGATCTTAATTGATGAAGGGTGGTTTTAAAATGAAATAAATAGTTTACACAATCATAACCAGAAATCTGCATGCTTTTTCAGTCACTTGAATGCTTTGTATGGCTCTAAGATGTAACATGGCAAGCTCTAAACTTGACTTGTTTTGTTTGCAACTTCTGCACTGTCCATACCAGGATAACTAAACTTTCAAGTTGTCATGCATGTACAGGCCCCAGAACTTGGGGGGATTTGTGGGTAAATAAATGAATGCAATGTGTGATTTTTCAGTTGTCTGTAGTGGATCTTATTACTCATGATTTGATTTCCCCATACATATGTCATACATACATACATACATACATATATATGTCTCAACAGCTTCTGAAAGTATACCCCATTGTACTTCAAAAAAGATGTGCTTGTCCTAACTTTAGAAAATGCAAGGAACTTAGATACTATAACTACAGTATCAGCAAAAGCCATAAAGTTCAGTACACAAATGGTATACCCCAAACCTGAATGCCTTTTCACTTAAAAAACCCCCAACACATTCAGAGTGAGGTGAGGAAAGTTCAAAGTATGTGTAATGTATCTTATTACTGTACTCTTCTACTTCTTGCTGGCAGTGTGATACATATCATTTGTCAATTCTACAATTTGTAAGGAAAGCATTACTTTTTTGAGCATGATGCAGCTTCATAGCATGTCCCTATTTAATCGTGAAGTCAAAAGTAGATTTATCTCTGACTTTAATACCCAAATCATCTTAGTAAAACTGGATTTTCATCTGGCTGATTTAAACAGCACTAGCTTAGCCAATGTACTTTATAATAGCCAGAGGATCTATGTAGCTTATATCTGCAATGAAATCTTGTATACAATATGTTGAGGCAATTTACCATATGTAGTGGCAACCTCTGGGAAACACATAGGCTTTTAAAGGTAATTTCTGTTGGCGGGAAAGTTTGTGAGCGCTCTTAGGAAGATTCAGAGCTCTGCCAAGCTCGGAGAGAAATCGTTCCAAAATGTTTGCTTTCTCTCTTCTTGATCAGGAGGAGCGATGGAAGCAATACTCCGGATCACTTCAGAAATGATGATTTAACTTACTGTAAATCACCCTGTTGCACTCGCAAGGGTAAATTTTCCAGTGCATGTGTAGTGGGATTCTAAGCCATGCCCACCAGCATGAGAGGGAGCTAGGGAACAGCAGGTGCGAAGCCCAAAGCTGTCGATTTGTGCGCAAAGTCTTGGACTGCATTTCAAAGCAACTATTGGAAATCCTGCCTTAACTACCCCTATTCAGGTGGCGATCCTGCCTCTAAGCGCACTTCGCCTCACAACCAGCTCGCTTTCCAGGCGAATGTGCCCTTACCTTTACGAAGAGGGAGATGTCATGCTCTTGCGCCTCTTCCACCGGCGCGGCGAGTGGGGTCTGCTCTTCTGCCGCCGCTTCCTCCTCCTCCTCCTCCTCCTTTCCCTGCATGCCATTCACCCCCAGCGCATCCCCGGCCTCCGCGGCCCCTTCGACGGCTCCCTCCGCGGAATCGTCCTGCAGGTGGTTGGTGCGTTCATCAGCATCCTCTCGCGCCGGCTCCGCCGCTCCCGAGGCCGGGGGAGCCTCCTCCTCCTCCTCCTGGGCGCCCGCCTCGAGGTTTCCCGGGGCTTCGCTTTCCTCCGCGCGCGCATCTTCTTCTTCTTCATCTGCCGGGGTTTCCTCGGGCGCTTCTCCTCCTCCAGCATCCAGTTCCCCCTCAGCGGGAATTTCTCCGCTTGGGGCTTCCCTCTCTTCCCTCACAGTCTCTTCTTCTCCCGCGGGAGCCTCCGGAGGTTCCCGCTGCTCTCCCAACTCGGCCTCAGCCGCCTCAGCCTCTCCGTCGAGCTTTTCTTTTTCGCGCGCTTCTTCGCTCGTCTCTTCTCTTGCATCTCCGCCGCGCTTTTCCTCTTCCTGCTCGCTCTCTCCTGTCACAGACTCCCCTCCCTCTCCGACCACCGGCTGCTCCTCACTCGCGCCCCGACTCTGGCCCGGCTCCCCCTCTTGTTGTGGGGGCTCCTCTCCTTCAGAGCTCCCCTCGACCGGCCCCTCTTCACTCGGCCCCCTGGTGTGGAGTGACTCCCCTTCTTGTTGTGCGGGCTCCTCTCCTTCGCGGGTCTCTTCTCCGTCGACCGGCTTCTCTTCGCTCGCCCCCCGAGTCTCCCCCGGCTGCTCCCCCTCTTGTTCCGGCGACGCTTCTCCTTCAGGACTCCTTTCCTCGTTCACTGGCGCCCCCCGACTCTCGCCTGGCTCCGCCTCTTGTGGGGGCTCCTCTCCTTCAGGATTCCTTTCTCCGTCCACTGGCTCCTCTTCACTCGCCCCCCGACTCTCGCCCGGCTCCCCCTCTTCTTGTGGCGACGCCGCGGGAACTGCTGCCTCCCCAGCGTCTCGGCCCCCCTCAGTCTTTTCCTCGCCGGCGGCGCCCGCAGCCGCCCGCGTTTCGTCCCGCTCTGCAGGGCGTCCGGCCGGACTTGCCTCCCCGCCCTCCTCTCCCTCAGGACTGGGGGGCGCCTCTCCATCTTCGCGGCTTTGCTGGCTGCTGAGGCTGCTTTCTCCCGTCTCGTGGCTCTCGCCTTCCTCTTCGCGGGCTTTCTCCTCAGGCGTTACGCGCGGAGCTTCGTCCTCCGCGGAGGTGGAGGCCGGGGGCTCCTCCGTGTCCTCCTCTCCCCTCTCATCCTCCTCCACTGCTCCGTTCTCTTTCCCGCCTTTCTGCCGCGCTTCATCTTCGGCATCCGGGGCCAGAGCTGCCTCGAGCTGCCCCTGCGCCTCGGCCATGCCGACCTCCTTAGGGAAAGGGCGTTCTTGATTGCAGGTGACAGGTGCGCGTCCCTGCGGACCAAGGGCGCCTCGGCTCTCACGCAGCTCCCGCTATGGCGACTGTGCCCTCCTCCCTGCGCTCACACAGTCGGATTAAGTCTGGGACTTGGCCAGCGACAAGGGTCACATTCTCGACTCCCCATCAGGGAGCACGCCGGAGCGGTGCGCGCATGCTCAAGCGCAACAGTTGAAGCTGGCCGTGCCCTCACCTTTCTTGCCTCGCCTGCCAAGAGGGTTTTGCTCCCCGGACTAAGAGAAATTAGGAGGACGATGGGAGTAACAGGGTCGGCCTGGACATCTAAGGGGAAGCTGCCAGCGGTGCAAAGTGTAGGGGAATTCAGAGTAGGGCATCGGACAATAGTGAGAGAAAAGAGGCCAAAAGGGAGAGACAAGAGAACAGGTGGCAAGAGGCTAAGAACAAAAGGAAACAGATGGGCAAAACTGGGACAGGGGCTCAGGGGCTTTTTTCTGCAGAGAGCTCCATCTACACCCTTGCTCCTTCTTTTGCTTCGTTGTTATTTCTCTGTGTCTAGTTGATTTTGTAAAGCCCCAAACTGTTAAAGGTGGGATTTTACCCTATTGAAACTAGATTAGAGGAACAATTTACATGGCATGTTCTGAAGGCTGGCTGGACAGCGCTTGCATGGGTATATGAATTTCAGTGCACACTCAACACGCGATGCAGTGTGCACTTCAGTGTGCCGCCAGCCCAACCCATGCCGGGCAGCTTGGTGACAGTGTTGCAAGTACACGCAACTCAACCCACTGCCACTGTTGGCCAGTTTCTGAAATGCCTTATGGTTCAAAGCGGGAAGGAGTTTACAAAGCAGGACCAACACAAACTAGCAGTAAAATGGAATAACATGTTCAGAATTTCCAGTTCTCTGCGCATGCAGTTTCTCACAGCAAACCAGTTGGGTGCCTTTTACTGTGATGGTGGTTCTGGCTGTGTTAGTGATGGCAACATCCAGATTGTGAATGAACTTGGGATCAACTAAGCAATGTTCTTATGCACCCACTTTGGCACATCAGAAACTACCGTAATTTACTGCCTAGGATTCTTCACATTATTTACTGTGTCACTCGGGTGAACATGGACCTAGTGGCAATCTTTTTTATTCTTCCCTTTTTTGGTGGAGTCCTTACAGTGCAGTTCCAGATACACTTATTCAGAAGGGAGAGGGACCATGATAGAACACATAACTGGCATGCAGAAGGTCTGTTTCAAACCCTGGCATCTCCAGGTTTGTTCTTTGTTCAGTGATCAGGTGGCAAGTGATGGGCAAGACCATGGGTAGGCAAACTAAGGCCTGGGGGCCAGATCTGGCCCAATCACCTTCTAAATCCAGCCCGCAGACGGTCCGAGAATTAGCATGTTTTTACATGTAGAATGTGTCCTTTTATTTAAAATGCATCTTTGGGTTATTTGTGGGGCATAGGAATTCATTCATTTTTATTTTTTCCCCAAAAATATAGTGTGGCCCCCCACAAGGTCTGAGGGACAGTGGACCGCCCCCCTGCTGAAAAAGTTTGCTGACCCCTGGGCAAGACTTTTGCCTTAGGCTCCAGAAAGCTGGTGAATCAGAATAGAATAGACAATTCTGGGCTAGGTAGACTAATGATTTGATCTGGTATAAGGCAGCATTTTATGTTTCATTGAGGCTTACTCCCTAAAAATGTGTTTATACTCACCTTATACTCATTATACTCCCCAAGGAATAAGCTCCACTGAATTCAATGGGATATACTTCTAAGTAAATATGTCTAGGATTATGCTGTCAGACTTCTGTTTTATTGCTATCGCCATAAGCAAAAGAACTCAAGTTCTGACATACGAAATACTCCTTTGCTTTAGCCCTTTAATCACTACAACTCTGATTTTGTGGGCATGGAACCTATCCAAATACTCAGGTGATATTTTGGCAGTAAAGACTGCACCTAACCTTTGATGTGTTGATTTACAGCAGTTTGGGGTTAAAGGGATTACTATTCCCAATACAAGGGATCTGAAATAAAGTCTCCCTCCCCCCTCGGAATGTGAAGGCTTATAAGGTTTACAATGTGAGAAACAATGAGGAACACAAAACCTACTGTCAGGGTAAATAAATCATATGAAAGGAAACTTTGAATTGTCTGTGTGAAAGGAAACTTCATATTGTTTGAGGGCCACTTTCTCAGTGTATCACTGAGCAAGGTTTAGCCACTGAAATTCTGGGGTGCTGGACATGTTCTTAAGATGGGCACACTTATTTCTAGCTTGAATCTGACATACTGCATATTCCTTCCACCTTTCCCCATCCAATTCCCTCCTCTCCTTGGCAATAAAAATGGAGTCTAGTGGCACCTTTTGTAAAGTATAGCTTTACATAGTGTAAGATCTGGTGATGGTAGCAATTGCAACCACAGTGCTGATGTTTCCTAGTTCTTCCTCCAAAGAGCCCTTTGGATCAGGCCAATGGTCCATCTTGTGCAGCACCCTGTTATCACAGTGGTCAGTCAGATGGCTGGCAACATCCACACTGCCATGCGGGGAATCTCTTGCAGGTTATCAGTGCCTGAAGACAGGGCAGCCAAGTCAGTGGCCAGAGGAGAAATGACTGCTGGGAGGAATACAGAGAAGAGGAACACCATGGTATTGTTGTAAACAAAATCTGCCCTTTTTCCCTTATGGGGTATCCAAGAGCCCCTATAGAGTCCTTACATGGGTTTCCTATTGTTAGGAGAAAATAACAGAGGCCAACCAGAGAATATTGAGAAGCAAAGCAGCTAGTAAGCCTGATCTTTATTAAAGCTGGTGTAACAGGGTGCTCTCCTCACACGCAGGAGGACCCAGAACACGGTGTGCCTGCCCTTATATAGACATTTTAACTTCCCTGCCCTGGAGCTCAAGACCACCCCTCCATACATCATACATACATCACAGAAGGGGTGTAACCCAAGACCATACCCACATCACAGAAAAGGTGGTCTACAACAGAAATTTGAATGTTGTTGTTTTTCCTGTCTGCCAGGTTATCTGATAATCTGCCCATTCCTTCGAAATGGTGATTACCAATTCCTGCCCTCCCTCCTTGCAGAGAAAACATTTGTTCAGTTTGGGAGTCAAAATGGTTTCAGGACGGTCTTCCTGTGCTGCTCCAGACATGTGGTCCACATATCTATGTTTGTGCTTGGCTGGTACATTTATGAACATTTATTATATATATAAGACCTTAAATTTTTTATTATAGTAGAAGAAGAAGAAGAGTTTGGATTTGATATCCCGCCTTTCACTCCCTTTAAGGAGTCTCAAAGCGGCTAACATTCTCCTTTCCCTTCCTCCCCCACAACAAACACTCTGTGAGGTGGGTGGGGCTGAGAGACTTCAGAGAAGTGTGACTGGCCCAAGGTCACCCAGCAGCTGCATGTGGAGGAGCGGAGACGAGAACCCGGTTCCCCAGATTACGAGACTACCGCTCTTAACCACTACACCACACTGGTACATCTGCAGCAGCAGAAATGGATGCCTTCATCTGCCCCAGCTACAACAAAGTATGTCTCTCCCACAGCCACAGCAGGTGCTGTAAACTTTGAACAGCTTGACCTTACCCCCAAAGGCACACACCTCCATCGTCTCCCGAGACAGATGGGTGCCAACAGACCAGAATGGTACCATGGCATTGCTGAGCAACAAAATTAAAGTTGTGAAATGCACACACATAGTGATCATTAAACTTTATCCTAGCTACATGTTTATTAACAGTGTGATTTGTTAAATCCTATGTTTTTAACTATTCTGTTATCTGAGTACCTCACACTACTCTTGTCAATAATATCGACAGGGAACATGAAAAGCCACAGACTTGACCTCACTACCTTATAAGTGATTCCCAGGATATTAATACAGCTACTTAAATGCAAGGAATTCGTAACTGGTCCAAAATCAAACATAGAAGATAAAACCCCGACTGTTCGATGCCTCTAGAAAAATATGGCAATTGTAACCAGCAGAGAAGTAGGCATCAAATGAGAGAGGGGATTTCAAGGGCAAACTCACATAATCTTGCACTGATTAACGGTATTTGCTTATGAAGTTCAGTTTTTCTTTCATGAAACAATAGATTAGCTTTACAAATACTTGTTAAGAGTCAGCTAGAGTGATATTTGAAGGCAGTTTAAAAATTACCTTTGTACCAAGGAGAAAAATGTAGGACATTGATACTGACATCAGTCTCGTAGAGGTCAGTTAATGACTTTTCACAGCGGTGATTTGGGTTTTATAATCCAGTTAAGGTTAAGAGTTAATTTTAAAGTCCCACTTATTTGAGTAAGTTAACATGTTGTTAACTGTCTCCTATGGAAACTAGTGGGGCTTTAAAGTGCTTCATTGCATGATCCTGTGAATAATGTGATGCCTGTGAATATCCTGTGAATAATGTGATGCCATATGGAAATGTTGAACTAAGATCTTTGGTAGGGGGTGGAGATAGAGCAGAGCACGATACTATTGCAGGAGATACACACAACTTTCCTCCAGGCTGATCCGCTGCTGTTGGCAACTCAGTATTCTGACAGCAGGATAAAGGTTATGAATGGAATGCAACTTGTATAGTTCCACGGTTGCTACTGAGGTTCTGTGTGTAACCTGGCAAGTGAAAGACTGTAGCTTTGGCAGATCATGTGCATTGTATGGAGAAATGCCCTGTGTTCAATCCATGATACATCCAAATAGGGCTGGGAAATCTTGAGAAATGGACAATACTGAGGATCAGCCAGCTTTTAATTAATTAAATTAAATTAATCACATATTTATAATCTGCACTTTTACTTTTTAAAAATCAAGGTGCTATACAACACATGAGAAAAAATATCAACAAGAGCATCCACAGGTGCATCATTAACATGTCAATAAATCATCAATAAATGGCTTAAAAAATAAAATTCATATTACAAAGGCCTGTCTAAACAGTATAGTTTTCAAAAGACACCTGAAAGAAGGGAGGGTCCCTAGTAAAGGCCAACCAAATCACAGGAGCATGGAAAACCACCAGAAGCGCACCATTAGAGGATCTTTGTGAATGAGGTGG